GAGAAGTTCTAAAATATCAAGTATTATTTTCATTGCAAGTAGTATATGCTAGGAGGCTGCATGCAAAGAAACAACCACAATGTGTTCTATACCAGCCAATCTCTCTGGAAGAAATTCCAGCAGCAGCCTGGAAAGCAAATGGAGTGTGGAGGACCAATCCACAAATTGCAAGCTTGGGAAAGAATAACACTGCTTAGAAAACGAAAGTCAATCAAGATTGGAAACATTTCACCTGTTTTCATTTAAATCTCCAATCTTTTTTCCCTGCTGGTTTACGAAACAGCATCCAGCCTAGAGGGGCCAGAGGGAGTATGAACTCAGCATTTCAAAACAGCCACCCTGACACACTCAAGGAAATTTCCTGTGACTAAAATCCTTATTTGACTAAGAAGACAACCAGGCATTTGGATAATCTTCCAGTCACAACATCGTTTATGAAACTTAAAGCTATTATTTTCTATCATGCTTTTTGTCTGGCCTATATGTAAGATCCACTCGAATAAAGACAAAAGCTTTTTTAAAAACTATCATGGAATTTATAAAAAGGCCAATTACCTGAAATATTACTTGAGTAGCCCCCTGCTTTCAATGAAATGTATATCCACCCCGTTTCAGAGCAGTAAACATTTACTGCAATACTAAAGACCTGAAAAGGCGATGGTTTACTTTCACTTTTCATTCAACCTGCGCCAAAATTCCCCACGGTCATAAACACTCCTCCGGAGTGCACAATCCAAACCTTTCCTATAAATTCCATACCGCCTTATAAATAGCCTCTGACAAGTCAATGCTGACAAGCCAAGGAAATCAAAGAACAGAGTCACACTGCTTTACATTTAAGACTAAACCAGGTATTACATTTTAAGACAGGTATTAATTAAATATATCCAGAGTTTTCTAAAAGGAACAGTTGGCTCCCTGTTATGAATTCTTTGAAATCATTATATTTAAAAGTCTCATACAAAACTGAAATGCTTAAAATCTGAGAAATTTAACATGTCAATTCTGTAGCCATTAAATTATTGGATTAATGTCGTACTGACATCCTATATAATAAACCCTAACATGCAAATTGACCAAACGGCAGAACGATCAGTTGCTATGATGCGTACTGACCACCAGGGGGCAGACGCCCAATGCAGGAGCTGCCTCCTGGTGGTCAGTGTGCTCCCACAGGGGGAGCATGGCTCAGCCAGTAGCCTGGTTGATGGCTGGCGAGTGCAGTGGTGTGGGCAGGAGTATTTCTCCCTCCTCTGCACGCGGGCGGTAAAAAGCAAGGGGTCCCAGACTGCGAGAGCACCAGACTGAGAGAGGGATATCTGCCTGCCAACAAGCGGGCATCCCCTGAGGGGTCTTAGATTGTGAGAGAATACAGGCCAGGCTCAGGGACATCCCCCCACCAGAGTCCCCCACACACCAATGCATGAATGTTGTGCACCAGGTCTCTAGTATATATATATATATATATATATATATATATATATATATATATATATATATATATATATGAATTAACAGAACACAACCTCATAAAATTTTCAAAACGATTCATTTTTCTAGTATTCCAATTAGAGACTTAACTGTCATGAGGGTCCACATACTAGCTAATGAATCCTGTGCATCATCTCAAGTAATCTTCGCACCAATCTTACTAGGTTTAACAATTCCCAATTTAAAAATTACCATTATCATCTAATTTTATAGACACCAAATATGGCAGAGCCAATACTGGGACCCAGGCTTTCATGTTCAAGAACCCCTGCTCTACATCTGCTCTTTATCCTGTGATTTTTTTTTCACAGGAATGATGGATGAACTGTACTATCTAGTCTCTGTTGCCTGGATTATCAATTTTCGTCAAAGCTAATCTGAATTAAGTGCATTAATCTGAGACTATAGGAAATGGCCTGGGAATCCAGGCAGGTAATAGGATTAAAAAACTACCAAATCCCTTTTGTTTGAATGTTGGAAATATTAAGTCAATAATAAGATATTTTGAACAAAAAAATGTGGCTCTGTGATAACTCTGACCAAAAGTAACCTCACAGGTTGATCTGATCATAAATTCTTAATGGGGCAGGTCGTGGGTGGTCATGGGTGGTAGTGCCCCAAACCTATACAAGTTTTACCTTAGCCTTAAGCAAGTCCTGCCCATTGTGTTTGTGCATGTAGGGTAACTCACCACAGAAATGCCAGGGCAAACCTCTTTTTCAGACCCCTGGAAGGCTTAACCACCCTTAGGGGAATAAACAATCTTGTTAACTATCCTGTAACTTGCTTTCTCTCATCTTCATGTAATCTTCCTATGTTCCCTCCTTAAATCCAGATGTATTAGAGGGCATGAGAGGGGGAGAGGGGCTTTGGGGGGGGGGGGTAAGGTAACATATATAATACCATAATCAATAAAGAAAACAAAGAAAAGGCACTACTGTGAAACTGTCATTCTCCAGAGCATTTGAGGTTTTGCTCCCTGACATGTCACCAGTTTGGCATAAATAAACCCAAATGCACTTTTATAAATATTCTCTAAAGTTTTTATATTTTGTATGTTGACAATACACACTGATTTGGGGTTATACAACCTCACATGGCATTGAAAGCCACAAGTGATCAATCACTATGGTTTTAAACTTCTCAGTCTCTGTAGATGCCTCTGCCTATGACCTACTGCCATCGGTACCTGTAGCTCTCATGCCAGTGAGAAAGAAATCACTTCCCTTCCTTCAAAGGGCCATCAGAGGAATAGAGGAAAGTTACCTGGGTTACTTTGAATAACTTTCCTCCTCTCCCTGGGAGGTGTTTTCACCATCCCCAACATTAAAAATCCTTGATATATAGATAAATAATAAATAACACATATTGAGTGATTTATCTGAGCCAGGCACTGTTCTATGGACTCATTCAATCTTCACAACCAATTTATGAACTATATTAAATTGCTATTTTATATACGAAGAAAGTGAGGCTCAGATAAATTAATGGACTTATCCAAGGTCATACATCCAAAAAATGGGAGAGCCTGGCTTTGACCTCCAAAAGTCTGATCCTAAAGATAGCACACTTCATCACCATACTACCCGGCCTCTCATTAGATGGTTGAAATAATTATTTTAAAAATGATTAAAACAAATATGAAAGAAATCACCCTTAAAGGTACAGTAAAGAGACTCAAAGACTCAAGGAGAAAAAATTATTTCATGAATATAGGTCCATTCCAATCTAAAACAAACCTTGACTTATAAAACTTTAATTTGGACCTAAGGATAGAAGGCTCTCTCTCTCTCTCTCTCTCTCTCTCTCTCTCTCTCTCTCTCTCTCTCTCTCTCTCCCCACTCTCTCATCCTGTTCTTCTCCCCTCCTCTTTCTTTCTCTCTCTCATGTGTGTCCTTGCTCTAAACAACTGTTACAAACCAGCCTTTATTGTGCCCAAGTGCCAAAGTGCCACTATTGTATAAATCGCCAGAGTCTACCATGTACATTCTTTTTAGAACTTAATTGTCTATTTATTTCATTAAAAAATAACACTTTTGACATATCGCTTATTTGGTTGCTTTAAAAATGATTAAAATCTAAACACTATGACTAAATGTAATGACATAAATAAATCTCATAAATATAATATGTAGGAAAAAAAAGCCAGATATAAAGAGTACAATGACTCAATTTATATAAGTTACAGAAAGTATGGAAACAGGGAAAGTTCCCTTCTGTGTTAATGCCATGGGGCACAAAAGGGTTTCCGGTTCTGATCCTATTGTGTTTTTTCTCGATCTGCCTGGCAGTTATACCAATGTTGCATTTGAAGAAATTCACTGAGATTTACACTCATGTTGATAGACTTTTACACTACATATGCTATATTTCAGCACGACGGTTTGCATTAAAAATCATGAAGTCATCCCAAACTCTCATTTTGCTAATTATAATTTAGCAAACTATACTTTTTTCTCTTCCAAAAAATATAATAAATGCTTCATAAAGAAAGCAAACAATATTCCTACATAACATTGTAAGATTACTGTTTTCCTATATATGAGTTTTAAATGTCAAATTTATCATTTATATACAGTAAAATTCATCTTTCCTCATGTACTGGACTATGACTGTTGACAAGCACATATATTCGTGCAGCTGTCACTACTATCACGATGTGGAACAGTTCCATCATGCCCCAGACCTCCTCATTCCCTTTTGTAGTCAACCTTTTGCCTCGTTGCCCAGCCTTTGGTAACACTGATCGATTTTCTGTCCTATAATTTGCCTTTTTCCGGAATGCCATATAAATAGAATCATACAGTATATGTTCTTTTAAGTATAGCTTCTTGCTTTTAGAGTAATGTTTATGAGATCCATTCATGTTTGGAATATGTAAGCAGTCACATCCTTTCTATTGCTGAGTTACAGTGTATGGATATACCATAACTGAAGAACATGTGAGTAATTTCCGGTTTGGGTTGATTCTGAATCAAGCAACTGCATTCATACTTATGTTTTGTATGTGCGTGAGTGACACATTTCGTTTTTAAATTCCAACTTGTACTTTTACCTTCACAAAATATTTTCTTTATTGCCTTTCATCTATGGTAAGTCTGATACCTAGAGCATATACCAATCAGTTCAAAATAATATAAAATCAGAAACTGAACCAAATAGCAAACATCTTATAAAAATACATCAACTTTTGCAAATTCCTCCCTTAAAATATTTTTACCTCATCTACAGAATTAGGAATGAACTGTTGTCTAAAAGTGCTAGCTTCATTCAAAATTAATTTTGTTTAATTGTATAACTTTTAGAATAATTATATTACTAATTTGGATTTGAAGTCATAATCAACAAAGTGAGAAGAGGTAAGAAAGGTGGCTTGAAAAGTAAAGTGTAATATGTCTTTCTAATTCCCGAATTGAACACATTATAAATTTCAATCAGCTGGTTAGTACTTTTCATCCATGATCCCTGGGATAATTTGAGTGGCAAAATGGAAACATGGTTGATGTTACCTAGCATGTTGTGGTAAAGTGGAATGGCCCGTCCAAGGGTAGTAAATGCAGTCATGACTAGTGGGACCGCTACACCTGCAGGCAATTACAGAACAGAAAACGTCATTCTCCATTCACAGTGACATGCACACACATGCACCAGTGCTCACACATGGAGCCTGCAGGAAGAACATGGGAAGCAAGCACACCAAGTACCTATCCATCAGGCCAATGCAGTCTTCAATACTTGAGCCTATGCACCTGCAGAAGATCCAAATTTTAAAAATACAAGGAAAACATTAGTCAATAAAAAAAAAAATCAATACGATAAATACCAATTGTGCAAAATTCTTAATTATAGTTATTAGGCAATTTTGGAACACCATGAATGTAAAAGCAATGAGGATATTATTGCTCCATGGATACACAGGAATAAATTGCAAATACCACCCAAGTGGAATGCAAAGAAATATATATCCACAGAAAAAGACATTTTGCTGTATTTTGTGGGTAGTTTCCAAACACATATTGCTAATTTCTAAGACTTTCTATTCATTTGCATCAATCATGATTATATGTCTTGATGAATAACTTGGTATTTCCATGGCTATAATTGGTTTTATGCATATGCTTTCTTCTATAAACTCTTCAATTTAAGTAAACACAAAATCAATAAAAAAAGGAAACATATACTATTGAATATAATATAATGACTTGATGCTTAATACCCATTAAAGATTGATTTTGGCAGAAAGTGAGTTAACATTCTTTAATGCTAGTCTCATAGATACTTTACATAATCACATTATTCCATTCCTTGGCTGTGACTGTCTTTATAACATACTTATCTTTAAACATGAATTCATTTAAAAAGCAAATTAACTGGTTTCACCATACTGTGGTTTATCTTGACACTCTTTTTTTAAAAGAGCAGTGCCATAGCAGGCAAACAAAAACTGGTTTTTAACTGCCAAAATATTTAATGTAAACAATAACAAATAAATTAATTCTCTCCAAGGAAATGGATATGGTTAGACTCAGGTAACTAAAAGTCCACTGAGATTAACATTTACTATTATAGTAAGTGAAATAATATAAATACACAAAAGTCAGATGGAAAGCCCCCATAATTTCATTTTGATGTATTCTAGAAATATTCTTCTTCCAACTTCCAATGTACTTAAATTGCTTTTCTTTTCTGTTTTTCCACATCAAAGACATATAGCTCCAGTGCATCAAGATTCCTCATACAGCTATGATTTATAGAACTGTCTAATTCAGTGGTAATGAAAATGACTTTTTCCAAACTAAAATTTCTTAAACAGAAAAAGAAGTTAAAATCACTATATCATGGATAAAAATGTATCATGCATAAGGCCAGACTATCCATTATGTTTTTAAACAACTAAACATCGGTGAACTATTATTACTATGCCCAAAAATAATTATGTCACTATGTTTTTGTTTCAAAACTATGTTATAACACTCAGACTAGGTAAAAATTGGAATTGGTTTGTTTTTGTTTTCAGGATTGTTTTTGAGAGGCCAGACATTTTTAAACATACAGATATATGGGAAATACACTATAAAAAGTTTTTTATATGCAAATAAATAACTAGAGTACATAGTTTTGAATTAATATCATAATCTGTAATTAAAACTTTCCTGAATAATGGAAAATTAACTACTTAGAACGTTTCCAAATTGTCTTATTATGATTTCTTTTTATTCAATTCTGAATAACTTATTTTTTCTAGGTTCCTATTGTATTTTCTTCAAAGTGATATTTTAAAATATACTCTATTGCCATTTTGGAAAATAAATAGCCTACTTATTTCCAAGTGAGAATTTGAAAGCTATGGTTAGTTTGTAATCTATGTCTTTTTTTTTTCAATCCTCATCTGAAGATAATTTTCATCATTTTTTTGAGAGAGAGAGAAAGGCAGAGCAAAATATAAAAGTGAGAGAAACACATTGATTCATTGCCTCCTGCTCGTGCCCTGGCCAGGGCCCAGGCCTGGGAGGAGCCTGCAACAGAGGTAGGTGTCGTTGACTGGAATTGAACCCAGGACCCTTTGATCCACAGGCCAGTGTTCTACCCACTGAGCAAAACTGGCTAGGGCTGTAATCTGTAAATTTATAATATTCTTTGGAAAATATTTCCAAATGAAATTAAACTTGAGGAGAAAGTGCGAATAACAAAAATCATTCACTCATTAAAAACAAAACAAAATTGTATTGCATGCCTACTCAGCATTCCTACCATCTTAGGACCTGGAGGTGGGAAAATAAAAGAGAAGTTAGACATTTGCCTGTTTTTAATGAGCTCACAGTTTAATGAAGGAGACAGATGAGGCAATAGGACAGGGAGAAGTAGAAGCTAGAACATGAGGTGGCAACTGGAATTGGAAGACTATTTGTTCAGGCATACGCATAATAAAAAACCACCAGAGGCTTAAAGAAGTAGCGAAATTGCTGGAATGTGTTTTACATAGATATCTTTGTGGAGACGGGTCAGTTGGGAGCCAGGAAGACATGTTTGTTACAGAGACTCTTTTAGTCTGTTCAAAAGATGGACTAAATTAGGAAAACGATACCTAGGATAGAGGCAAAGGGACAGATTTAAAAAAAAAAATCTAAGAAGGTATGGGGGCAAAAAGAAAAGTGAATGGCTGACTTGATGATGAGAGGGGAAGAAAGAGTTAAGAATGACTTACATTTCTAATTTTGAGACTAGTGCTACCATTAGTGAGAGAACGCGAGAAGAGGATCATCGTTTTCCTGGGCGTGTTGGGGCAGGAGGAGTTGCTGATTTCAGTTTTGTGAATGAGCCTAGTGTGGCTCCTCTATCATCCAGCAGGAGATGTTCCTGAGCAGCTAGAAAATGAATCTGTCGCTGGAGGGTGGGGATGGAGGCCGACAGAACAGTGTAATAATCACTTTTGAAACAACATACAGGAGAAAATGGAAATCATGTAAGTGAATGAGGTAGATGAAGAACAACCTATACAGTGAAAAAAGTATCGATTGAGACTGAAACCCAAGGAACTCCTGTAACTCGTGAGTAAATGACATGCGGTGAGTTCATGTCACATGGGGGGAAATAATAAAGTATAATGAATTAATCACAGCATCCTTGAAGCCCAATCAGAAGTGAACGTCAGGAAACAGGGTGATATCAGTGTCAAATGCAAGGAAAGATCTAGTAAAATAAGAACTCCTGAGCGTATTTCAGTTGTCATTGTGAGCTCACTAGAATTCAGGTTGCTGTGAACTGAGAAGCTAATTGAAGATGGAGGTAAGGGAAAAGGAAGGAGAGAGAAAGAGGGGATGGGACATGTGCTAAGGAAAGTCTGTTGAGAGACTTGTGTAGGACATTTGAGATTTAAACATGTTTATAGGCTGAGGGTACAAGAAACAATGGAAGGCAAAGAAGAATGAGGGCATGACTGAAGAGGTACAATCCTTTCTCAATACAAGTCAATGTGCATTTAAAGATGTACATTCTATTTCAACTCTGTGCTTCCTATAAACAATTATTTAGCACATACAATTTGTATTGATTCAGCAAGATCACATAATAATGAAAACAAACTTTTTGATGAAAAATCTCAAGTATGAGGCTGAATAAGATATGGAATAATATGACTTTCAACAAAATTAGTGTTCTAAAGTAGAACGCTCGTGGAAATATCAGAAAGAGGAATTATGAAATATCAGTGTAACATTATAAAATATTTGGAATTTCAAATATTCAGCTGTTTGATATTTGCCAACAACATAGTTGAGATTTTTTTTAATTCTTTATCAGTTAATATATTTTCACAAAATCTCCAAATTTTTAAATGAAAATGGAGGAATATTTAAAAATTAACATTAAAATAGTGTTGAGAATAATTCCACAACACCCTGTCTTCCCTCCTCTCTATCAACAGAAGTCATTTCACTAAAGGAATCTAAAAATGTAAAAAAGGATTGACAATAAAGAGTAAGACGTAGAAGAAATTTAGTAATATAAAATCATGCTTCTAATATTAATAGACATTTAATAAAGTTGTTTTTTAAAATGCCCTTATGAAAAATAAATATCCCAGCCCATGTCTAAAAACCAAATTAAATTGACATTTATCCTGGACTAGTGGTGCTAGTGAGGAAACTATAATCCCTGTCCTTATGGTCATTTAATTGCATAGTAAGTTTACAGGTCCTCCTTAAAGATTTCTGACTGGCTGATTTCAAATATGAAAACCATTTCTAAGATTTAAATTCTTGCTCATCGTTTCAAAATGTGGGCAAGAGTCTCTAAAAGACAGACTTAAACCGTTGAGAATGAACATTCACTGCGCTGTGACTTCCTTGTGGTCCAGAGCTGTCTTGCCTGTCTCTGAAGCTGGCTATCACTCACTGTCTCTGATGCCCAGCAGGTGTTTAATGAGAAAAGACTGCTAAACGACCGTCCTTTAGTCAAAACAAAAAGGGACAACATTCTTATTTTCTTTTCTCTAGGAATATTAGTGAGAATCCCCTGACAGGTGCTAAATGGATAACCTACTTTTTAAAAAAGTATCTAAAGAACTTATTAGAGCCAATTTATCTAATGCACTTTTAGAGTAGTACATGTGCTTTCAAGGTATTAAACAGATCATTTCATTTTCAGAAAACCATTAAATAGTATTCAAAGGCAGAAGTTTCCTTCTTAAAAAACAAGTGACTTGAAAGACTGTGCCCATTAACTTGGTTCTTGAGTGATCGAGCTGACATAATATTGGCAGAGAAAAGAAAAGCTGTTTTCTAAAGCTGGCCTGGCGAGCTCACGCTTCCTAACAGGGTCGTAATTACATGTGTTTTGGGATAAAAATAGTCACTCGTCCCATCATGCCACTGCCCTTGCGATCTATCAGGGCTGCGCAGAGCACTCCACTGCTCCAGCGGCAGATCTCAAATCATAGTGCTCCCCAGCAGTGCTGACCAGAGGGGATTCAGGAAACACGGACATTTCTAAATTCTGTTGTGTGGCTGGGGCCACAGCACTTGTGTGAAGGGAGTGAACCCGGACCCTATGGAGGCTATGAGGGAAACAAGCAAAAGGCCCAAAACTAAATAAAAGCAAAATCAGAAATCCTTCAGCTGCTCATTACAGAACCCATGTACCTTGGAAGAGACCAGGGGATATACTATTCAAATCCTGCCTCCCCCCCATTCTGTGGCCATGAACTGAAAAGCATGCTTCTATTTGCTGGGCGGCCCCCAGTGATCTGGCCAGACGTGTTCTCCATTACACCTGCCTACTCCCTTTTGGCGGACACTCGCCTTTTGGTGTTGGAGTAAATCGATATCTTCATTGTCTCTCTTTCTAACTCCCCCCCCCCCCCCCCAGGATATATATTTTCTTTTATGGCATAATCCCGGTTTAAAAGGTGCTGAGGGGAAGACACACCGGTGACACACGCAGACTGGGGCTCTGTGATGTCGCTTTCATTTCCCTAATGGCTTCCTTGTAATTAGATTCGCAAACAAACAGCAAAAGGCCTTTTTTTTTTTGAATGGCAACAGCTGTTGACATCAACGTTATATTAAATAATTTACTGGTTTAATTTTAGGCACAAAACAATAAAACCCTCTTGTGGATGATGCTTTGAGCGGCAAAGTTTTCCCCTTTCAGTAGCTGGTGCCTCTGCCCCAGCAGGACCAGTAGTTTCTCCATGAAATACTCTTAACCCAAGCATGCCAAAACCTCAGAAGGGGAGCAGTCTATTCCCTCTGGTTTCTGGGAAGTACAGTATCCATGTGATTACTTCAGTGCCCTCACCCTGAGTGCTTATATCCAAACCAGGGAGCAGCACAGCTCCTCCAAGCTGAGTTTGAACTTGAATGGCACAATGTGGCTCTACCTTGGAAGACCTGCCATGTCACAGAGCCACTGAAACGGATTTCTTGACCTGCAGGACACGCAGCAGCACCCGCACACGGATGGCCTCTTGGCAGAAGAGAATGCAGCTTGCCTCACTTCTCCAGTATCCCCCAGCAGCTAGCCCTTCATTGGGCAGAAAACCTCTTTACGGAATCTCATGCTTTCCTGGTGGGAATAACATAACCAAGAGGATTCTCAACAAGCAGATGCGTTTGTACATGTGTGTGCACATGGGGTTGGGCACTCACAAGAGAGACGAGGTTTTATGGACAGAAAGGAGAGAGAGCATGTGAAGCTGCTCTCAACTCTAAAATTATCCACATTCTGAAGGAAAGAATAAGAAAAGAAAACAGCTTACTGGCATGGATTTGTTGAAAAAAATAGTTGGTGGGATTTGTTAGGTAACTGACATTATTTCCATTATCGTGCGGTACTGTTCTTCTTTCTGGAAAATGTCTTTGTTATTCAACTGTTATCAGCATCAAAAATTTTATTTCTTTTATGACATCTTTTTGAAAAACAGAAAAATGTGTGTCCATCTTTGAATTGTCTTACATCAAACAAAAAATAATTTCTCAGGTATAGGTTAACTTGTAACAAAGTTATTTAAAAAAAACACACACAAAAAACAACTATTAAAACAAACATTACCAGGGTCCCCTCTTTTCTGCCACTACTGCTTTTGCTTATATTTTGTTGATGGAGTAATCCAAGGCAGTTTTTACCAAAGAGAGCTAACCTAACTTTAAACTGGTTGTAACAGCAAAGACACAGAAATAGAAAGCCTCTGCTAAAAATTTACTAAGCACACATCTTAAAAGTATGATTACTTTTTTTGCTCAGTGGATAGAGTGTCAGCTTGCAGACTGTAAGGGTCCCAGTTTGATTATGGTCAAGGGCATATATATATACCTTGGCTGCAGGATCATCCCCAGTACGGGGTGTGCAGGAGGCAGCTGATCAATGTTTCTCTCTCATCGATATTTCTAACTCTCTATCCCTGTCCCTTTCTCTCTGTAAAAATCAATAAAATATATTTAAAATAATGAGTATGGTAATATGGTAATGAGTATGGTAAAATAATGAGTATAGTAATCTTGTCTTTTCTGATAACTTCAATCTCCTGTAAGTTTGAAAGCACTTTCACACAGCATACCAAAGTACACCCGACACTGCTTCATGAAGACAGCAATAAAACAGTTCTGATTAAGTGGGAATATTTCAAAGGGTATACATTTGCTTCCTTAAGTCATTCTCTTAGAAAGGACTTTTGTTAAAGTCAACATGTCAAATATAAAGAGGAATAGAGTTCTGTATGAGAGCACTCTACACTTTGTAGCCTGTGTCAGGGGTGCAGGATGGGTGTGGGCCTTTGGGTTAGCAATGCACGCAAGCCTGAGTCCCTGTCAGCCAGCCGGTGCTTACCCTTGTGTGCAGTTTGGATGGCATGGGTGGCACTCCCGGTCCTCATCAGCATACTTGAAAATGAAGCTGTTTGCCCCCTGTAAGCCATCTGGGCATTTCTCCACACAGTTTGGGCCATCCTTAAAATGGGAGCACTTTGTACAGTTGTCAGGTCCCTGAAATGTGAAAAACAAAATAAATTAAAGAAAACTAGATGCCATTTGTCCTGAAATGTATTTGGTTGGCCTAGATACTGAGACTTGAGTGGGTGGCCAATCCGCCTCTAGGAAATTGGGAACAGTTTAGTAATAAAAATGGGAAGGTAGCTCTTGTAGCTTTTTGATCAGCAACATTTTCCAAGGACTTTCCAGAACAGCAGTATTTTCTTTCTGTCATTTATTAATGGTGAAATTAAAGACCAACCACATTTGATAACAACACTTTCCCCCCCAGAAATATGAGAGATTTCTCACTAAACAGTTAATTTGGAAAATAAAATGGTAGGAATTACATAACACCAAATTTCATACAAAAGTAAGATGTTAACTCTCCTTTGGTCGTTCAGTGACAATGTGTACATTAAATATTAAAAATTAATATGGCTGAATTATCAGAAATTAGGCAGTGTAGGTCAATAAAAGTTAATTTCTAAGTTAAACCAGCTTCTGATAATGCTAAAAACCATATCATGATCATTTTTAGGATTTCTCTAAATCGCACAACAGTACTAAGAGCTATAGAAAGACATACTCTTATGGTCAAATATCCAACTCTTCATAATAATAAAATAAATACAATTAATGGAGTAACTTATCTAAGAGTGAAATTAATATAAATATAACCATGATAAATTTAAATAAAACTAATGTTATACATTTATGTTTATAATATACAATAATTTTATAATATGTAGGATGTTAGTAAGCATTAATAATATGCATTAAATATATTACAAATACCTAAATATCATAGCAAAAGTAAAAATTTAAAACTATATTAAACTTCTAATGATTTTACAAAAATCTAATTTGCATTTGGTGTTGGAGGAAACCTGCAAGAATTAAAGTAATATATCCTCTCATCATTTTGAGAATATTTTGATTAAAAAATGTTATTTTCTTAAGACAGGCCCATGTGCTCACGTTCAGCTCTTTGAAATAATGATATCACTTGCTTGAAATCCACTTGTAGGTGTTCTTTTTGAACATCCTATTGTCTTAGGATTCCTCTTTGCTTGACTATCCCCCTGAAACTTCCTTCTCTGACCCATTTCTCTGCAAGATCTGTCTATATCCATAGGCCTCAACAATTAGGACAGATCACACTGAACTTCATTTGGAGGATTAAGATTCTATAAGTACAGAGGGAGCACATTCATTTTACTAGGTTTATAACTACTGACTGTATGAATTTGGGAGCCAAGAGCAAGCAGACTTTAAACAGAGCTATGTGTTATGTAAGGGAGGGTGGGAATCAGTCCACTCAAGAGAGTCATTTCATGTAAAGGTTAACCCAAAAGCAGTTAGGTTTTGTAAACCGGTAACATAGGCACCCAGAAATCAAGAAATATGAAGTATTATAATTTAAAGAGAGAGGCTGTGATGAAGAATAGCAGTGCCAAGAAGTCAAAAGTGATCTGGAAGACTTTTCAGGAAATCATGAAGGCTAAGGTTCAATCAAACACCTGTCTATATCTCTATTTTGATGTGAGACTTAGAGCTTTGAGAAAAAATAAATTATCCTATGACACCTAATCCCTATTCACCCTGAAGAGTTTGCTATTGGAAACTTCTTATTTCCTTCCAGAAAAGAATACTTCACATGCTTCCAATTTTCACACCTGCTCATGGGTACTTAGGCACGTAATGCCTTCTATTACACAAAATCATTTACTTTGCAAGCATGCTCAGTGGCATGACTTATTGTACAAGACAAGAGACATGCTGATGTCTGCTTGCAGAACACAAGAATATAACTTACTATGAGCAAATTAGGCAGCTACAAGTGGCAACTAGAAATTATTTTCTTTAAAATTGTAATGCAACACAATGTCCAGGTAAATCAGAAGATATAAAAATTATAAAGCTAAAATTAATTCGCATTTAAACTTTAAGTACACTATAATAAGATAAATTGTTTTTGTTTGCTTACTTTTTTTTTTCAAGTATCTCAACTATTTCATTGTGTTATCCTTATACAAAACCTGATATCCTAAGCTGAAATAACTAAAGAATGTTGTGGCAAATCTCAAAAGAAATCAAATGTACTGTTTCTCCACCTCATTTCAATAACAAAGAGATAAATGTATGTCTAATGCTTATTCTTTCATCATTATATTCCCAAAGCTTTGAAGAACCTAGGTTCAGTGAATGAACTAATCAATGCAATAATAGAAAACATAGGTGAAGGCAATATTCTTCCTTATCTCTGATTTTAAGCTGCCCTTGGACTCAATAAACTGGACAGACAACTATAAGATAGACCACATCCTGATAGAAACAATGCATTTTTTTTTCTTAGTGACAATGTTTTTTCCAAGTAGCAATTGTAAGAGACAAAACTTCTTTTCACCAGTAACTGATTCTCTTTCACTTCCAATTACATGGAATCTTGAAATTCTCTTCTCACAAGAGGTGGGGTATATCTTGCTTTGGACAATGAAATTCAATAGCACGCATTTATAAAACTGCCAATACTAGCCGAAACCGGTTTGGCTCAATGGATAGAGCGTCGGCTTGGGGACTGAAAGGTCCCGGGTTCGATTCCGGTCAAGGGCATGTACCTTTGGTGCGGGCACATCCCCAGTAGGGGGTGTGCAAGAGGCAGCTGGTCGATGTTTCTCATCGGCGTTTCTAGCTCTCTATCTCTCTCCCTTCCTCTCTGTACAAAATCAATAAAATATATTTAAAAAAAAATAAAATAAAATAAAACTGCCAATACTAAACTCTTCAACCTTCTCTTTTACTGCTTCTGTGATGCAGGAACACCATGTAATAAAATAATGATTTCAAAGAAACTAATAAACTAATTATTTACTAGAATAATTTATGCCATAGGAGCCAGCATGAGGAATATAAAGAGCATGGATTTTTCTAGCAGCCTAACATCGTCAGAGGAGAAGGCAAATTCTTCATTACACTAAATATACATTACCAAAGTGTCAGTCTCTCTAAAAGAGATTTTAATATTTTATGACTTATGGTCAAGAAGGCATCTAAATATGATAGCTTTAAAAGAAGTCTTATATCAATATCTCTTTAATAACCCATTATGAAACTTTATTTCCCTATGTTGTTTTATAACATTCTTTAGAAAATCTCTATTTCTCATGTCATGGGTAAACTGTTATTTTCCATTACTATCGTTAGTGGCAAAAGTAAATGGCTGCATATGCCCTTTTGCATACACGGAGATCATTAAGTGTTAAACTGTCTTTTAGACTGGTTCTTCAGGCCAAATCACACCACTTCTTTTTTTGGAGGTCTGATTTTCCTAGTTTTCCACATCCTTCTTTAGATGAAGTTCCAGTACAGCTTACTGGGGCATAGTGGAAGCGTGGAGGGCTCAATGATTTTTCCCCCTAAGTTAATTAAGTGCATAATGGGCACTATGGTAGAAAAGTTAGTAATATTTAATTTTAAAATAAATTCTTATGGAGAAATGTTGAGGCGTTGGCTACTCCCAAATGTTGGTTCCCAAGTCATCTACTGAGAGCTGACTCAATACACAAATGAACGGGAAATTTGTCTAAAAAGGGTGAATATAAAACTTTGGAATGACAAACGCATACCAATTTCATTATTAAGAAAAAACCTGAGTGATGGCACTCAAAGGGAAGACTGAAAAGTAATGATCATTTTCTTTGTAAGGATAACTTCAAACTCTATAAATGTCAACTTGTCCACTAAGACCTTTCTGATCCCACACCCTATACCACACCCTTTCCTAAAATTTCCATTGCTCAGTTTTTCTCTTTGCCATAGTACCTATCACACTGCTTAATACTTTAGTTTGTATTTGCCTTCCTCCTTCTTTCAATGAACCTTCATAACTATCATAGTATGTTTACAATGACATAATGGTTAAATAATTAAACACAGAATGTTATAGTTTACCTCAAAACAACACCAACTTTCACATTTTCATATCTTTGCATATTTCTGAATTTCAGATTCTTATTCAAAGCATAGCTCAAAAATCACTTCTCTATAGTCTGCTTTGATGGTCTACTTTCCATCCCAAAGATAGATTTAGATTCTCCCTCAACTATGCTCCTATTAAAATCACATATAATAAAAGCCTAATATGCTAAGTGTCCAGTCGACTGGTTAGCTGTTCAACCAATCAAAGCATAATATGCTAATGATATGCTAAGACCACTCAACTGCTTACTATGATATGCATTGACCATCAGGGGCCAGACAGTCGACCAGTTGATCAGTTGCTGTGATGTGCACTGACCACCAGGGGGAAGACACTACAACCAGTAGGTTAGCTTGCTGTGGGGTCCTGCTAATTGGCCTGAGTGAGATGGGCCAGACACACCCTGGATCCCTTCCATAGTCCCTCCCTAGCAGTCCAACCTCCCATGTCCCTTCCTAGCTCCCCTTGGCCTGATCTGTGCCCTCTTGTAATCGAGGGCCCCTCAGGGGATGTCAGAGAGCCAGTTTCAGCCCAATCCCACAGGCCAGGCTGAGGGACCCCACTGGTGTACAAATTTGTGCACTGGGCCTCTAGTTTATTTACATTTTAGTTTATCAATTATTTTCCTTCAAGTTAATTACTTGTTCATCTCTGTTTTCTTTTCAACACTGTGCAGTCTTCAGAGACAAATCCATATCTCCTTTTAAATATACAATCTGGGGCTTATATATTTAAGAAATTGAATTTTTACATATTTTACCTCCATTACCAAACTTAAACGTCTCTTGAGGGTGAAATATCAAACATAATCCCCCGTTATATCCTACAGACACCTATAGAATGAATGGATAAGCGATACAGCCATGACACAAACACTCATACATGAAACTCAATAAGGCAACACAAGCACAGATGTCCTCCGGCTTACCGGTCCATGGCACGTGAGGATGCCATCTTCCATCTTCTCACACTGGGGGTCACACTCCACACAGATGGAGCTGTTCGCAAACTCCCGGAATTCTCTGTGAAAACATCAGCTGCGTGAGGTGGTGTAAGCAAACAAGCTGTCAACTTAACAAATGAAGTAACATCTGCTAAAAGTCCTATTGGCAGAGTGAATTCTAGAGTTTGTTTCTCCCTGTGCCAGGAGCCTCAGGATCATTTCCCTGCACATTAAGGAGTAAGTTCTCCATTAGGAGGCAAGATAAACGGCAGCCAGATGGCTCTCCTTGCCCTCCGCTGGGTTCAACGATAGACTCATTCAGGAAACCTCTCACTTGTGAGAGAGACTGTAGCCATCTCAAAAAAAAAAAAAGAGTATAACTATTCCGATGACACAGCAGAACCGTTTTAACTTTGGAAGTAAGGCTATCTCTATAAAATTTTACTTTTGGTGGAAGCTTTGTGTTTTTTTTTAAACTCTGAAAGGACTATTGTATTTTTCTTGTTGCTAAGTTGCATGAATGTTCTTCATCCTTGTCCTTCAAATCCCAAGACTCTTTAATTTATTTTTGGTGAAACTTCAAAAAATGCTTTGATTTCTTTTCTTCTTTTAAAATACCTGCCTTAGAGAATTAGAGAAAAGATCTTTTTATGGTAGATTTTATTTTCTCAGATTATTGATCTAATAACATTTTTTTCCAGTTTAAATTCCTTTTGAAGTAATTCCATATGGCATACAATAAAAAATAGTTTAATGGTAACATTCTAAATTTTCTAATTATACCATGACATATTGTGACTATTTGAATATTAAATATTGTCCATATCAATTTGATAATCCATATCTACTCTAATTTTTTCATTTTAATAATTGGTTACCAGTCATGTCCAATATGTTTAAACCATTCCTACTACTGTGTGAGTGGGTGTGGTACTGGGCAAAGGTAACTTACGATATCATTAATAAAACTGGAACCCTCGTTGGTTTGGCTCAGTGGATAGAGCATCGGCCTGCAGACTGAAAGGTTCCAGGTTCGATTCTGGTCAAGGGCATGTACCTTGGTTGCAGGCACATCCCCAGTAGGGGATATGCAGGAGGTAGCTGATTGATGTTTCTCTCTTAACGATGTTTCTAACTCTCTCTCTCTCTCTCTCTCTCTCTTCCTCTTTATAAAAAAAATCAATAAAATATATATTAAACAACAACAACAATAAAACTTGACTAAATATTTCTAGCTATTGTATTTTTATGCCTTTGTACTACGAGATACCATTCCAACCTAATAGCATTGCAAATATAGCAATAATGGATTAATTAGGTGATAAATTCAAATTTATTTTTCCTTTGAGTGAAATATTTCATTTTTTTTCATAGTAAACAATCTCATTTGGTTACTGTAAAGCCTTAATAAATGACAGAAGTCCAAAGCATGGGCTCTATTTTCTATTGGATAGATTAAGACGATACATACTCCAAGGCAAAATAATTATATTTGGTTTTCAAAATGAATAGCATAAATCGATGGTTTACTTATGTATAAATGCAAATATTTAATTACATGGATTTGACATTTTCAAAGTTAGTTTGCTATGAATTAAATGTTTTATGATTTTTCTTATGTTTAAAATTGCAATGAATCAAAACAGATTTTTTTTCTTGCATGTTTCATCAACATGAGTGATATACAATAAAATACTTAACTAGAAAATGCGCAGAATATAAAGGGAAACCTGGCCTCCTATTGGGAGGAGTACCTAAACTGTAAAGAGAATAAGAAGCATTCTCTGTTTAATGATAGTACATGACCACTACAACAAAGCTAATGTCACCAGCGAATTATTTATTTTGCAAATAGGTTCCTGGGGTGACAAAAGGGTTATGGTACTAAATGAAGGTCATAACTTTTGTGATACTAGAACATAGGTCATTTTTTTCCAGTTTAAATTTCTGACATAAAGTCAATATATGGCCAGTCTGACTCAGTGGATAGAGCGTCAGCCTGAGGAGCGAAGGGATTGCGGGTTCGATTCTGGTCAAGGGCATGTACCTAGGCTGCAGGACCCTGTTGGCCGGAGCCCTGGTCAGGAGGCACCTGATGGATGTGTTTCTCTCACATTGCTATTTCTGTCTTTCCCTTTCTCTTCCAATCCCTCTCAATCCAATGGAAAAATATCCTTGGGTGAGGATTTAAAAAAAAAAAAAATTACCAGAGACAATCTAGCTGACTTCTCTTCTATGGACTACATGTCCATCTGTAGGCTTTCTTCCCTCCTGCTACCAGAATAGAGACTTCTTACAGTTTCTATGACTCCTGCTCTATATTGTTACTGCCTCCATCAGTGTTCTTTTTCTTCCTAGTCCACCTTGCCAGAGATTCCCTTTCACAGGAATCAGATCTAAGAAATCGGTCTACTGAGCATGTGCATGGCATAAAGAGTGCTTTTTTCATTGTTTTTGATGCTCTACATTTTTCAGTTTGTTGTGGGTCTGCGACCTTAGCCAATCCTATGATCGATAACAAATACTTGAAGTCACACCCTTCTCAAATTTAAATCCCAGGACCCCGGATAATATTTCTAGCAGTTAAATCCCTTAATTTCTCAAAGCTTCCCTTTTTTAAGTATCCTCTGTAAAAGGGGAAAAATGTTTCCATGAGAGGCTGTGATTATTAATGTAAAAATGCCTCCAAAGAGCTTAGACAGGCACTCTTCTTGATGTTTCTGTGTTCTGAAAGTTTCAGAAGTGTTTGATCACAGTGCCAGATAAGAAACATGGAAGATTCCATTGCAATTAGCTTTCTCTTTCATTTTGAAAGCTTGTGCATTGTAGTTAAGGGTTGCCAAAATATAGTGACTCAAATGATTTGAGTTTTGAATGTTAATAGCCAGAAATTGGCTGATTTTCTTCTAACCCTTTTCAAAAGTCCTCTATTTAAGATTTCTTCTCTTATGATAACAAACCTCTTTTATAAATATGAATAAGATTCTGGTAAATGTCATACTGGATTTGTATTTATTTTTTAGCAGTTTCTAAGGTGACTTTTCTACCTAGCCATTTGATCAGCTCATATTATGTAATAGACACAGAAAGAAAATAATGAGTTTTAATGGTAAGAACGCTAATAAAATTTTATTGTCTATTTCTCACTTAATAATCACAACTATTTTATGAAGTTGGCACAATTACTATTCCCACTGCCATATAAGAAAACAGAGTTTACAATTGTTAGGTTATTTGTCCAAGGTTGGACATTCTAACTAGAAAGTGGTGGTTAGCTTTGAATTCATTTTCCATCACCTGCTGTTTTAACTGAGGCAATGTTGGGAGAAATTATCCACTCCCACTAAACTGGAGATGGGGAAATATATCCTTGCTTGGGTAGATAAGAATTACATCTGATTCTTATAAGATACTGGTATTTATTTTTCAAATTAACCCTGTGAGTATGATTTTCTAGGGCCCTATCACTTTTTCAAAATACATAAAAAGTTTCACATTTCTTTAATTCATTTCACTTAATAACATGGAAAATAGTAAGTTTTCAAAAACAAGCTGGTAATCATTATTTACTTAGGAAACTGGTAATTTTCCTTAGTTTTCATTGTTTTGCACAATTGAGAGAGAGGATGATGTATATATATCTACATATTTATCAATTTCATATTTCTGAAAAGTTTAAAATATTTTTTTGTAAAAGCTATGGTATCTGAAAAGGAAAAAGAATGAGCATGGTGCCCTGGGTTGTAATAATGGCTTGGGCCCCTTACAGTGTTATGATCCTGGCCAGTACTAATTCTACCAGTTCTCAGTGATTATAAGATGCTGCTGTAAAAAAACATGAATTCTAGACCTCATTACTTCTTTAAAACTGCACATATACACTGAGTGGCCAGATTAGTATGATCTCTGAATGCATAATAATCTAGCAACTCAGTGTATATCCTATATAATAAAAGGCTAATATGTAAGTTGTCCCCTCGACCAGGAGTTTGACCAGCAGGCAGGCCAGCCAACCACCTACAAACCCTCCCCATGGCCAGGCTAGCCAAACCCCAACCATGTATGAATTCATGCACTGGGCCTCTAATATACACACACACACACACACACGAGTGGCCAGATTATTATGCATTCAGAGATCATAATAATCTGGCCACTCAGTGTATATCCACTAAACTTTTACTATAACATTCACTTAATGGAATTAAAGTCTATTAGTTTCATTTTAGGGGTATCAATTGCCACCCACAAACAAGCATATTTTAATCTAAGCTACTTTATGTACAGAAAATACATTATTTTCATAAAAATAAACAGCGATGAGTACATTTCACTGAGACAAACAACACATAATTTGTTATTCATTACCAAATTTATGAGCTCATTGTACCTTGCAAAAATAACAAGCTGAAATTTTCCTTAAAAACTATTAAATTCTAATTTATACTTAATTTTCTAATTTTAATATTTTTCCTCTAAATTGCATAGACAGAATTAAATTTGGTCAGCTTTCAAAGAAGAGACATATAATTATTACTATGATTCAAAATAGTAGACTTGGAAGTGGTTTAGGGTAGAGGAGATCAATGGGGGAAAAAAGGAAACCTCTGTACTACTTCCATCAATAACATAAATTAAATAATATATTACTATTATTCAGACATTTTAATTTTTCTTTTATAAAATACAAAATTATAATGTTACCTGGGATCTTGAAAACAGTTGCTAAAAATTGGACAATTCATAAGGCAGAAGAAGAAATGAAATAAAGACATTCAAAACTGCAATTTTACAAAACTGTTGAAAGTGCTCACTGTGAGCAATAATAAAAAAAATTTGACTCAGGGACAGCACTAAAAACTGTGTTATCTCACTAATGAAGGACAACCATGATGCATGAAATGGCATGTTATGATAAAGTGATTTTATGAGCATGTGAGATGTCATGCAGCAAGGTATATAGTAGGCTTTATTATAGTAATAGAAGAAATGTAAAACATTTTATTTAAATTATTGCTTAGGTTATCTTTAGAAAGTGGCAGAACAGTTAGAAAAACCTACTCAACTAGAAATTATGAAAGTAGTTTTTCTGTAAGGCTAAGCCATTGTCAGAGATATAGAAATGTGTGTCATTCCTAAAATCAAATCAAATAGACATGCAACCTAAATGGAAAACATAAATAAAAGTTATGTATAATTAAAGGTGAACATTAGTAGAAAGTATGAGGGGGAAAAAAAAGACTATTGGGACATATAAAAGGAAAGATTGCTTATATCTTTTATAAGCAGAGTAGCAATATATTTTTCAATTTTACTTAAAGTACATTTTAATAATTTGTTAATAATTATCTATTTAGTAGATAATGTTTTTAAAATGTGAATAACAGTCAACATATATTTGGACTTGATATTTCCAACTATATTATTTCCTCTTTAAATAATTCTTCTATAAGTTGTCTACTTTATGCAACTAAAGCTCTCCTTAGTAAAAATCTTGGCCTGTATACCCATACTGAAATTTTATAATATTCTTATCATGTTGAAATCTGAATCAGGCAGAATCTCAAAGGTCAAGAGGCGAAGGTGACATGTAAGATGCCTTACCCATCGTAGAGGTTACAAGAGTCTATGCAGGTCCTTCCCCGGCTGAAGCGACGACAGGACAGGCACTGGTCTGGCCCGGGTCCCCAGCAGCCATCGCTGGAGCACAGATGGTTGCACACCATTCCTTCAGCAGCTGAAAAACACATCAAAATCAAGAGGAAATAAACAGAAGCTTATGTCACAATTTACAGATTTAATATAAATCTTTCAAAGTAAAACTATTTCTGTAGGAGTTTGTTTGAAAGAGATCTATGGCAGACCCCTTTGGTGGCCTGTCTAGTCACCATTATTCACATTATCCCCAACTTCTTCCATGTTGCAGAGCTCAGTCACTGTTGTTGTGAAGTGACATTGTGTTTTTAATAAAAAATGAACAAATGCCAATTGTCTATATCATAACTCTGGGGAGAAGGTGTAATAGAAAATAATCTTCCAGTTAAGGAAAAAAACCACATCTTTCTCAAACCAACCCTTTGTTCCACAATTATCCCAAACTTTTGGCTTTAATTCTATATGACAGCATCATGAAGATAACAAATGATACTTGTTCTAAAACAAATAATATTAAAGGAGCAAAGGAACACGGCTGGTGTGCCTCAGTGGTTGAACGTTGACTCATAAACCAGGAGGTCACAGTTCGATCCCGGGTCAGGGCATATTCCTGGGTTGCAGAATCTACCCCCAGTAAGGGGGCATGCCGACTAGGCTGAGGGAACTCCCCCTCCCCACACCGACACGAATTTAGTGCACCGGGCCTCTAGTTTTATATATTTCTCTGTGGAGTGCTCTTAATCCCATGTATAGAATCATATATTCATCTGGCATTGTTTCCTCCTGACTAACCACCTTCCTTTACTATTTCTAGGAGTGTGGTTTTCCTCTGTGCTGCTCTCCTTTCTCTGGCACTGTCTGCAGACTTGGGCCTCTTTGGGCTACCAGCTCCGCCTCCTCAACTCAAGGAGTCTTTGGGATTCTACCTCGGTCTCTCCAGACTCTACTATGGCTCAAAAATCCTCTCAAGGTAATTAGCCAGAGCAGACACAAGGCTCACCTCATTTGTTTCCTCTCTCTGCTTCATTACCTGATATCTACTCCCTTGCGAACTGTCATTTCATATCATTTGTCCATATTTTGGTTGTTTCATGAGGAAAGGTAAATAAAATCCCTTTTATTCTATCCTGGTAGAAGTAGAATCTGATATTTATTTCTAAAAATCCAAAGTAAGATTACTTGCTATTTCTTGCTTCTTGTGTATAAACACAATTTTTATATTGAATTTATCTAAAATGCCCATTACTTCTAAACATCCATAAACTTTATTGAAAATTATAGTTCCTTCTACTCTACTATTTTAACTTATTTAATTTTTAACATTATTATAAATAACATAAAGGTGAATTAAAAAAAAAAAAAACAAGACCTGAAATAACAGAAATCAGATAGAGTATTTTCCTGTATACATAGGATTTTTATTTTTTTGTTAACTCGTCAGTTTTGCAGACCAAAGCAGTACTTCCCATTTTTAAAGATGTATTAAATTGAAATAGCATATATTAAAACTATTTTTCTCTTCTTATGTGGAGACATTTCTTTTCAAAACTTGAATGATTTGTTGTTCTACCTGTGAAATTCTGACAGTTTACCTCCTATATCGATTTCAAACTAATTGCAAGAGTTCTTTCCTTCTCACTCATTCAGTTCCCTCACTGTGCAAAAGAAATGTCAGTAGAAATGGAATCTTAATATAGGTCTCATATCACTGATTTCCTAGGAGTATAAGTGACTTCCCACTGATTTATGAAGATGAAAGAGTTAAGAAAGTTCAATCAAGCTGATGGAATATAAATGTTTAAGAACAAAATCTATATAATAGCTTGAGTTAAAAAGGAGTAAAGATAAATTATATTAATGGATATAAAGCTATAATGCCTATTTTGTAAACATTCAGCCATTTTAAGTTTTTTATGAACTATTTCATAGTCTGAAACATATATGAATTTACATATGATTCTCATATATCCTTGCTTATGGAATAAATATGATCATAGGAGGAACCCTTGAAGAGGGAAGGTTAAAAATACACCGTAAGTTACATTACAAATGCAACTTGTAAAGACAAGTAGAATATATTCAAAATCATGTTGCTCAGAGTGATGAATCTCTGGTTCTTCATAATAATCACCTTCATATTGATATAGAAACATAATCAATGCCTCAAGTTCTTAGTTTACCTACTTGTCTAAGGCCAAAAAATAAATTTTCAGATTCTGCCTTCAGGCTGTTGGTAAAGGTACCAGTACCTCTTTGTTACTGCTCATTTGCTGATAATCCATTAACTGTCTGATCTACTTATTTCTACATATTTTTTTTTTGGGGGGGGGAAATGGACAAATGACTATTTTTGAAAAGGATAGTATAATGTCTGCAAATAGTCAACATATTGTCAAGTTTATTTTTCATGTTCTTTTAATTTATCTATATTTTGTAACACTTTTGGTAATAAACGAGTATTCCTTTTATAATAAGAACAATAATATGGGGACTTATAAAACAAAACAAAAAACACTATATATATATATATTTGTAGTTTGAAAACCTCTCACTCTTGTCCCTTCACCCCCTTTTCTTCCAAAGCTGATAAGACTCTGTAACAGTGGAACTATTTTGTCATATGGTAGTATTTTAAAATTTTTTGAGGATCCTCCATACTGTTTTCCATAGTGGCTGTACCAAATCACACTTTTCCCCCACATCTCACCAGCAGTTTTCTGTTTTGGAAACAGTCATTCTAACAGGTGTGAACTGGTATCTCCCTGTGGTTTCAATTTGAATTTTCCTGGTGATTGGTGACGGGGAGCCCATTTTCATGTATTTGTTAATCATTTGTATGTCTTCTATGGAGAAATGTTCACTCAAATCCTCTGCCCATATTTATTCAGATTTGTTTTGTTTTTGTATGTTTTTTTGTTTTTGCTTTGTTATTGAGTTGCATGAATTCTTTATATCATTTGGATATTAACACCTTATCAGATACATGATTTGCAAATATTTTATCCCATTCTGTAGGTTCCCTATTCACTTTGTCGATTGCTTCTTTTGCTTTGAAAAATGTTTTAGTTTGATTTAGTTCCACTTGTTTGTTTTTGCTTCATTGCTTCTGCTTTTGGTATTGTATCCATAAAATCATTGCCAAAACCAATGTCAAGAGGCTTTTCTCCTATGTTTTATTGTAGGAGCATTATGGTTTATGTCTTACGTTTAAGTCCTTAATTCATTTTGAGTTAAATTTTCCAGCTTTCAGAAGCCACTTTGGCATTCCTCTGCTTGTAAATACATCATTCCAACCACCGTTTCCATGGTCACATCACCTTCTTTATTAAAATCAAGTATCCCTTTTTCTCCTTCCTACAAGGTCACATGTGATTACATTTAGGGTCCACCCAGATAATCCGGAGTCATCTTCCCATCTTAAAATGCACGGCTTGATTAAATACGCAAAATTCCTTTTCCATATAAAGTAGCATTCACAGATTCTGAGGATTCGGATGTGGGCATCCGTGGGATGGAAAATTATAAAACTCTATTGCAATAAGCTCTTTATGTAGGGAAGGTTAGACATATATAAGTGGGAATGACATTATGGGTCTTTGGAAAATGTTAGAAGTTAAAGCCATAACATTTAGGAAAAGGTAGAAGTGAAAGAAGAAGACATACCCATTCACCGTACTCAACAGGTGAAACAGATATTACTGAAAGTTTGTTCGCTCTTAAGTGCTCTCGGTACTATATATCTGACTTATGTGGGATTTGGGGAGAAAATTCTGGTAGAGCGTTTTGACAGGCAGCTGTGACAGCAGTGATAAAATATTGAAAAGTCTTTGCATATTCTTAGAACACTGAGCACATTATAAAGTACTTCTCAGAAGGCATATTAACTCTATAAAAGGAAAATAAGTTCATAAGTGTGTTGTTGAAGTTCTGAAGTAAATAAAATATAATAGCAAAATATATATTGTATTATAATTAGTCAATGTAGAAATAAGCATTAAGTATCCCCTTTATGGTCTTGAGTGTGTTAAATTAGTGAAAGGATAAAACAGAACACTATTGATAAAATGCTTTTTTTGGTCCATTCTTTCTCTTTGTCTCCCAAAACTGCTTTAAATATACAGTGTTAAGTGGCACAACAAAAAATTTCCTACACCAGGTCCTTTTTGAGAGAACAAACCCTCAAAAGATGAAACGAATTACCAGGACATGTTTTAAAAATATATTTCTGACTACAGAAAAAAAGGGAGAAAAATGGGGGTGGGGGTGTTATAAAGTACAATAGAGTTTCTAAAAGGATTTTCCTCAGACACCTGTCTCACAATGATCTGGTATGAAAAATGCAGAACCCTGGGTCCTTTCAATCTCTATTAGTTTCCACTGTTATACCATTGTCTGTATTAATTTATTAGGTGTGGTATAAGAAAATGCCACACAATGATAGCATAAAATCACAGACACTTATTTTATCACAGTTCTGTATTTCTAAATCAAGGAGTTGGTTGGCTGGATCTTTCCTGAGGGCCTCCTCCTAGCATCTGGTGCTTGCTGGCAATCCTTGGTTTTCCTGACTTATGGCTGTGTAACTCCATTCTCTGACCTTGTCTTCATTGGTTATCTTCCCTTTCCATGTGTACTAGAGGCCAGGTGCAGGAAATTCATGCAAGGGGGTGTGTTCCTCAGCCTAGCCTGCACCCTCTCCAATCTGGGAGCCCTCCAGAGATGTCCAATTGCTTATTTAGACCCGATGCCAGTAGGATTGGGCCTAAACAGGCAGTCGGATATCCCTCTCATAATCATGGACTGCTAGCTCTCAACTGCTCGCCTGCCTGCCTTCCTGATTGCCAATAACCACTTCTGCCTGCTAGCCTGATCACCCCCTAACCACACCCCTGCCAGCCTGATTAATGCCTAACAGCTCCCCTGCCAGCCTGATTGCCCCTAACTGCCCTCCCCTGCAGGCCTGGTCCTGCCCCAACTGCTCTCTCATGCAGGCCTGGGTCCCCTCCCCCCAACTGCCCTTCCCCACAAGCCCAGTCGCCTCCAACTTCCCTCCTCTGCCTGCCTGGTCACCCCTAACTATACTCCTCTGTAGGCTTGATCGCCCATAACTGCCCTCCCCTGCTGGCCATCTTGTGGTGGCCATTTTGGGTCCACATGGGGGCAGGATCTTTGACCACATGGGGGCAGCCATCTTTTGTGGAGCCATGGTCAATTTGCATATTATGCTTTTATTAGATATCATTACATGGTGTTCTCTTCTGTGTGCCGGTCTGTCTCTGTATCTCTTCCCTTATTCTCAGAAGTTATAGTGGATTAAGGGCCCATTCTAATCTGGCATAAATTCATCTACATGTTAATTACATTTACAAAGAATTTCTCTATACATAAGATCAAATTCATGGTGCCAGTAGTTAAAACTTCAACACACACACACACACACACACACACACACACACACACACACACAATATTTTTCCATTGATTTTTAGAGAGTGGAAGTGAGAGGGAAAGACAGAAAGAACTATTGATATGAGAAAAACACATCCATTGGTTTCCTCCTGCATGAGCCCTGATAAGGACCCTGCAGGGGCAGAGCCTGCTATGGAGGTGCATGCCCGTGACCAGAATCTAACCCGGGACCCTTCGGTCCTCAGGCCAGCACTTTATCCACTGAGCCAAACCGGCTAGGGCTCAACATGTGTGTGTGTGTGTGTGTGTGTGTGTGTGTGTGTGTGTGTTGAGTATTGGCAACACAATATTATCTAAACAACAAACATTGAAAATTTGAGATCAGACTTAAAAATTTTTTTGCTTTAAAATATTTCAAATACTGACCTACAGGCAAGTTATTAAAATGCTGCCCTTTGTAATAAAAATTGAAGCCTGCAGTAATCCTGGCTGTTATTGTTGAGAAGCCTTTCATTCTTTCAGAGTTTCCAGATTGCAAATGGAAAGGATGCCATTTATGAATTTGTAACAGCTTATTAACCTTTTGATGAGAACACAGAGATCCTTTTGCAACATTGTAATTAAACATTGTACTCTTTCAAACACAGTAAGAAAATCTTATTTGATGTTATTATTTTTTTTTTACAAAGAACAGTATATTAATATATTACTTTGGTAATAAAAAAATCTTAAAAGTACAGTTAAGGTTTTCTATTTTCTGATTACTTAGAGGAATAGTGACTTTACTATATCCCGAGTTATGCACTTTATGATTCATACTGAGCTATGGTTTACCTAAAGTTACGGCAAATGCAGAATGTTTGGTTATTAGTGATTAACTATAGTTTTACAATTCCTTTTTACTAATTGCATGTTAAATGAGGTAGATTTTTCTACTATCAAAATTCATGAATATCAAAATCAGAGATAAATATAGAACTGTATATTCCTTTGATAATCTTTGTGCACAAAGTATATTTTACAACAGCAAATATTTGTATACTGAATATACTAAATTCTTGTGTAGATTTTTAATAAATCACTAAGTCTGTTACTTAATAAAGACAATCTTAAAATGTTTAAATTACAAAAGAAAAGGAAAAACATTTTAGAGGAAATCAAGCATATACCTATTTACCACTTAAGCTCTTAGATCATTTTAAAATTTCTTAATATCTCGGCTCCTATTCATTACTTTTTTTATTATCCATTACTTGTATTCCATGTCTACCACTGGTTGAGTAAATGTTGGGTAAAAAGCTTAAGAATTAGAAAAAAAGAAAAGCAAATTTCTGTCAAGAATCAGAAATGTTTAAAACTAAGGATATAATCTAGGCTAAATTAAAGGACACATCTGATCCAATATAAACATACATATTTTGGTATGTAATAAAATTTTGTACTTGAGTCTATGTAGAATGGAAGAATGTGTAAGAACTTAAGTTCACTCACAAGAGGAATCTCATGTTGCAATAGATCTCTTTTCTCTGGAAAATATTTTTCAGGATCCAAAACAGCTAAAACTCCTCACAAATTATAATTATAGTTTATGAAATTTGGTAACCTGAGCTGCCTTAAATCATTTATAAAACAAGGTGGAATTATTAGTAAATAAATTATTTTACTGACTACTTTCCTTAGTAAGCTTAAGTTATATTGCTTTCTTAAGAGTTTATATTTTCTTAAAAATGTCCTAGCCTTAACCGATTTGGCTCAGTGGATAAAGCATCAACCTGTGGACAGAAGGGTCCCAGGTTCAATTCCGATCAAAGACATGTACCTTGGTTGTGGGCACATCCTCAGTAGGGGGTGTGCAGGAGGCAGCTGGTCAATGTTTTTCTCTCATCGATATTTCTAACTCTATCTTTCTCCCTTCCTTTCTGTAAAAAAAAAAAATCAATAAAATATATTTTTAAATGTCCTATATTATCAATTCACATATATAATAAATAAATTTAAACATATGTGTTTATACCTTTGCATTAAATAGATCAGAAGGCATCCTGATAGAAAAGTATTTCTTAGGGACTGTGACTTCTTAACAAGACTAATTCATCATAACCACAATGAGAACATGTTTTTATGAATAGATCATTTAAATTCTAAACATTTTATTTTATATTTATCACAAGCAAGTCAGACAAATGCATAGTAGTGGAACTCATAGGATGTAAAAGATAGTAGTACTCAGTAGAAAATCAGGGAAGTATAAGACGGAAATGGTCTAGTTATGTGTCCACGAGAACATCATCAACTTCTGTATAACAAAGAAATGATGGAGTGGATCAATAAGTATCAAAGTAAGTGAGAAAAGAGATAGTGAACAAGAAATGCACTTATGAAATTAACTTTGTTTCTTGAATAGCATTTCACACTTTTCAGAAGAAAACATATTCATTTTTCCACCACTTCAAAATGGGAAATACTCTGTTATCCTATGTTATCAAATTCACTGAGAGCAAAGAGAAAATTCAATGGGGGTAAATTTCCACAACTGTTTGGATCCAGAGAATTACCCGGATGCTTATTAAACATTTAGGTTTTAAGTCCCACGAACACCTATTGAATCTAAATCTCCCCAGGTGGATGCTTTTAATTAAGAATTGCGCATACACAATCTCTCTATATAAAATCATAATATGCAAATGGACTGGACGGTGGAACAACCAGTCCACTATGACACACACTGACCACTAACCCCGATGGGGAACTGGGAACCGGGGTGGATGGCAGTGGATGCATGTGGAGCCCTGCCTGTTGCCTCACATGCAGAGGGCAACCCTCAGCAGCAGCACAGGGTGGGGCTGGCTGCCAGCAGCTTGGAAGATCAGCTCTGGTCCCAGGCCAGGCCTAGGAACCCTATCTGTGCACAAATTTCATGTGCCAGGCCTCTAGTATACTCTAAAACAAGCCGCTTATTCTGATTTTCTTATACCAACCATTCTTAAGGGTTGAGGAAAAGAAGGCTAGAATTCTGACCCACTGTAATTTTAACTGTTTAGTCAAATATAGAATGGGAGAAAATGTTTAAAGCTTCCATTGTTTTAAATATATATTGTGTGTGTGTGTGTGTGTGTGTGTGTGTGTGTGTGTGTGTATATATATATATATATATATATATATATATATATATATATGTATAATTTATTGACTTTAGAGAGGAAGAGAAAGACATAGAAACATCAGCGATGAGAGAGAATCACTGATGGGCTACCTCCTCCATGCTCCCCAAGTCAGGCATGTGCCCTGACCGGAAATCAAATTGTGACCTCCTGGTTGGGCTAAAACTTCTACGTTTTAATGTCTGAGTAATGTACTTACTACAGTTTTCAGCCTTCCTGTTGTCTCGAATCACTATTCTTTGGCTGACGGTGCTGAAGAGCGTGGTCCAGTTGATGGTGTGGTAGTAGCACAGGTTGCTGTTGTCAGTGATATAGATGTTTCCTGCACTGATTTCCTTCAGGGACTGGAACTGCAGGGAAGTGATGCCTTGTTGCTTGAGGATAAGCAAGGAGAGGCCACTAAAGAAAGGGGAGAGGGAACGTGGAACAATAATAAATATTTTTTTGTCCAGGGCATTCACTTCTGAAGTAAAATACAAGGTGTCACATCTTACTCCAAAAGAAGATCAACAGACCTCAGAGAGAGATTGAGTAAATAGATTTGTGCTAAAAATATTAATCTTCACATGCTAAATACTGGAGTTTTTAAAAGTAATACCCAAACAAAACATGTTCACTTTTAGAAGTATGGATATTAATGTCTTTGTGGACTTATTTACCACTGTTATATCTGCTCACTGCCTTCCCTCCTTCCCTCACATCTCCAGTTCCTCAAGGATGAAATCCTGTGTTAAGGCTAAATAATTAACTAAATGTATGTGGAATGACTTTCATATACCCTAAGTAAGGTAATAATTATATTCTATTTAATAGATGCAGAATGCTTTCCAAGGATGGATATTGGAGAGAATGTCTTTGATATTATGCTTTAATTTACTTAGGGACAAAAGAATAATTGCAATAACTGAAGAATGTTTAAATAGAGGTAGGAGATATAAAAATTTACAGAGATGATTTATATTAAACTTCAATTTTACAAAATACATAGTAGGCTTGGACAACTGGGGAAAGAATCTCTAAATGTTAAGTAACAACTACACAGTAGAAACAATCATTTCAAGTAAATTTTTTTTATTTCAAAATAGTCCACTTTTCTAATTAAGTGCCTTTTTCATTCCCTGAAGAATAACTGTGTTTCCCACAATTCAACTAATGGACATGACTTTACATTTTGGGGATCTAAACTGTCCCCTTTTATTTTACTTCTAAATCTAAAATTAGTTTTCTGACATATATATCAGCAAAATATGCATGTATATGTGTGTACTCAACTGAGCTGTAATTCATTTTCTCAAATCCTGGCTCCCATTATAAATACTTTTATTTGTAGATTATGAGTATAATGATGCCTTGATATATTTATAATATTTTATTCAGAAGATAATAAAATTCATTGCAGATAACACTTGAGTAAGTTGTACCTCTGAACTATCCTTTTATATTAATACTTTCCCATTTACCTTTTAAAACCTCTTATACCTGTTTTAATAGCAAAATTCAATGAATTTTCTGTGAAATGCCATCATATAATATTTGACGACAATATTGATTTCAGAAAACATTTAGATTTAAGCAATAAACATTAAAATATCCTATATACATAAGTTTTTAACTCTTCATAATCAAGATTTTCATAAAGATAAAAATATGAAATAAAAGCAATGGCTTAATAAATATTAACTCTACTTTTATTACATGAATAAAACTATTGACACTGGAACAGCATCCTTTTGAGCCCTGATTGTTCTGTTTATTACAACTAACACTGCACACAGGGAGGTGGACTAATTCCTGAAACATCAGCTCTATGATGCTTGGTTCAAATGAAAGCACCAGAGGCAAAACAAGAACTTCTGGTATGGCACTTCTCTCCCCTACATCTGAGCCATTTCTAACCACCCAACTCTCCCTTTTAATTATAATAAAATATGATAAACAGAGGGCTTAATTTTATGTTTCATATTATGTGTTGCATACCTACAAAACATTACTTTAATGATAGGTGATCAGAAAATCCAGCTGTGTATTCTATATACTTTAAGCACAACTGGGGTATGCTTTTGTTGATCATATATTGGAATTAAAAGAAGAAACCCAGTATTTCTAGAATCAGTAAATTCATGAGGTTAATAGTTTTGATATAGTATACACGTGATGCTACTCTTGAAATCTGGGAGACCGCATCTTCGAACATATAAACCTACCTGTAGAGGACTCTTCCTCCGATGGTCACCAGGTTAGAAAAAACACTGAAGTCAGTCATGTTTGGGGGCCATGACTGTATGTTCAAGAAACCTATAAAAGAAGAACATAGCAGAAAAATTCATTACATCATTGTCTGGGCAATAGTGCATAACACTGATTATTCCTGAAATAGGATGAAAATGTGTTGAAACATAAGAAAAGGGAAGTGAATATTCCTACTTTTAAACCATTCTATCATATCTCATATTTCTTTTTCTAAAGTGGAATGCCTTAGCCAACATTTCATGGCTCCAACACTCCAAAGAATATCAAAGGAGGGGGACAAAGAGGGAAGAATGAGGGACATTTGCAATATTGTCAATAACAATAATGATAATAATGACAATGAGACCAAAATCTATATTTCTCAGCCACATGGAATTATATAATTATACATGTGAAACAACATAAATCTTAATTTAATGTATTCTTCTAAAACCAAAAATATTAGTCTAACTAGATAAAGAGAAAATTTCAATTTCTCTGAAATCCTTTACCACCGTGTCTATACACTTATACCCCATTTATCCATCTTGCATTCTAAGACATAGACATATATATAAACTTACCCCTCCTCATTTAACTTTATATGCTTTAATAACAAATAATGTTTAATTCATGTCTATAAACCCAAATAATCTACTTTAATAGTACCAAATGTATTACATGCTCTATAAACATGTGCTAACTGAATGATGTGCATTACCCACACCAAATAGTACTTCTTGTGAAAGGTAAAAACAAAACAAAAACAAAAAAACGTGCTTTCAAAGATCAACTGACACTTGCAAAACAGTAACATCAAAATTTAAAGGACATTTTACTCTAAATTCTATGGGCTTTTAAAATGTGCACACATGCTAAGGAGTAGGGAATTGCATTAACTTTGAAATTGAGTTTCTGGTTCCAATATTAGATAATATTTTCAAGAAATGGTTAAAATTCACATGGTTAATAACGCAATAAGTGCACTTGAAAAATTACCTGTTATCTCTCGAACTGTCCGAAATACATTCAGCTTTTCTGGGTCTATAGCTTCAATCGCATTGTAAGGGTCCCTAGAAAACCCAGGAGAGAAGCAGTCAGATTCAAAATTAAATAAAGAAATAAAAATATAAAAATGTGACATTATTTTATTCAAGTTGAATGGTCATTATCAAGAGGAAGGTTAACAATGTGCGTCCACATTTTCCTGTCTTGGATATGGAGGAAAACTTAAAGTTGCTTTGAGGACCATTTTGATGACAGAGGATTTGAGTTCACCAAAGGCAAGTCTAGATTTAGGGAAATGATTCAGTCTGATTATACTGAAGAAACCTCCAAATATAGCAAGTCCATTTATTATCCATGCTTTATATTTTGCTTTAAATGAGAAAATAAAACCAGCAAATAAATTATGTTATAGTAAGGGTCCTCAAAGCACTCAAAATTGTGAATAACACTTGTAATTTCTTAAGAAGCATAAAAGCCAACACATGAAGTCACCTTTTTTTTTTTTTGCTGTATCTCCACATTTACCTATTAGCGATTTTTCATATTTATAACATTATGTAAAAGTTCCTCTTCATATGAATTATTTAGAGCAATTCTGTTCCTAACTGATATTTATATTCATTTTTATAACAGACCTATTTGCTTCCATCTATATAAATCATACTAACATTGAAAAACACAATTTACAACAAATTTAATAACATTCAAAAGGTGTTATAAATTTGAAGATCTAATGCATACACATATTTTTGTAAAAACTTGTTTTTGATATATATACAGAGAGAGAAGCCCTGTCTTTTCAAAAATGAACATAAATATCTTTTAAAATTAAATGTTTAATAGGGTTGTTTTTTTCAGAGGTTTTCATCTTAACTTTTTTTCATATACTATACTGATCACATAAAATAATTGCATACTTGAATAGTAAGCAAAACATAAACATAATAATACCAAACTTTTCCCCATAATTTAAGGAATATTTTCGATGTTTAAGAAATACATAGTATTTTTAAAAATGTTTGATTACTTTAAAACTATTCTGTACTATCTTGCACAAGTAGAGACCCAATATTAATATGTACTCTTCAGAGGAAAATTGAATTCTCTTCATTGACCACTTCTCCAGGAGAGATCAAATCTTCTAACAACAATGAACTTAGACTTTTTTAGAAGCATATTCACCTGTAGCCATAAATTGAGTTTTATTCTTGCTGTGAACATCTGCCATTTTTTTGCAACTTATACATACATACAATCATTATTTTTCATATTATTTCTTTTTTGATTTTTAATTACATATATTGGGGTGACATTGGTTAATAAAATTATATAGGTGCAAATGTACAATCCTATGTTATATCACCTGTACATTGCACTGTGTTGCCCACCACCCAAAATTAAATCTTCTTCTGTCACCCTATATTTGACCCCCTTTACCTTTTACTACTTCCACCACCTCTCTTCCCTCTGGTAACCACCATACTGTTGTCTGTGTCTAAGTTAATACATCTGTGTTTTACCAATCTTTAGGAACCTTCTTTTGTGTCAGGGAATAAACACTAAGATGCGGTGGCCCACTGGATGTAAGTTTAACAGGGCTATCAACCCAGGTGCTCCATAGCCCCCTGACAACTTGGCATATGGCCTGTTTGGGGAGAATCTGAGTGTGAATCTACTGGCTTTTATTTATCTTAGAGCCTCTTACAGACTCCATTAGTTCTGGCAACCATGCTATATGGAACTAACTTTAGTGCAGCTCTCTCCACGTGATTCATTGGCATATTCTTCTACACTGTGAATATCCCATATTGTCAAAGTGAAAGAAAAAAATGCTTGATTAAATTACTGTTTCAAACTAAGAAGTGCGGTCCATTTACTGTACAACTAGTTTAACATGGAGAGTTATGGACAGCTTGGAGAAACACTATAAATGAGCTTCCCTATAATTCATACATAAACAATGAATATTTTCCTCAATGTGACATGAAGAGCTTTCAAAGGCTTCAAGTCTAAATTAAATGTGCTGGCAAACTTGCTCTATTTATAACTGAAGATGCATACATAGAATGGATGACTATGATTTGTATGAATAGAAAGCAAAAAAAAAATATTAAGTTTGCTATATGGTAGAATTCTTGTTGTTATCCTATTTTACGGGCAAAGACTTTTGTATGCAGAAGAAATGTCAGCACTACAGTAGCAGAATGAACTTTCAACATTTGATTTTTGATGAAAAGCAGTGAAAGCAGTGTCTAGAACAGGTCTGGTCATACAATAAAATATTCTGACTTTATTGAGAAACACTCAAAACCCAGGGCAAGCACACAATAATGGGGTCACTCGGTCCTATATTGAGAACGTGTCCAGATTGTGGGGAATTAAATGAATTCTGGACTGTTCACATGCAGCCCAATGGACCACAGACATTTTATATACTTAATTTAAGAGATTCAGTACTCTCATAAAATAAGTTGACAGAACCCCACTTACCAACTTCAGAGTACCTGTAGGGAGTTTCATTGAAATCCACAGAACTAGAAAATTGAGAAATTTGCTAGCCTAAATTCATAATTGTGAGTAAGAACATTATATCCACTCTGTGACAGTTGTTGGCGATCCAACATAAAGCTCAGGATAAAGACAGAGCAACATATTTTCACAATTGCATCACAATATATTTCTTCATTATCACATGTCCATTGTCTCTCATCATCCCAGTCTGTCATCTGAATACTTTTCTGTCAGAGTCTCATTGTGACACAGCCTGGACAAGCATATCTAGTGAGCATTTTGTTGCTTCAAGCACATGTGCATAAACCATGTCAAACATGACAAGATTAAAGTGGATCATTCCTACGGATAACCCTAATCACTGAGTTTTGCCTGTGGTTCCCATTCTAAATAAGGAAACAAGAGTACCTAGTCCATTTCTGTCAAAGGCACTATTGTTCTAGAAACTAACCTTTTCTCTTATTTCTCCTTCACATAGATCTAGAGACATAGAAGCATGGAACAGAGTGTCTAATCTCAGAGAAAAGGTAGAGGTGGGTGAGTGGGTGGAAAACAATTAACCAAATAATTTATATGAATAAATGCATAACCCCTGGACACAGACAACAGAGTAGTGAAGGCCTGGGGTAGGGGGATGGGTGTGGCCTAGAAGGGGTCAATAAGGAAGAAAAGGGATTATCTGTAATACGTTCAACAATAAAGATAAATTTGTAAAAATAAATTACAACTGAAGAATTAAAATCACTTTATAAAATTGTGTGTGTGTGTGTGTGTGTGTGTGTGTGTGTGTGTGTGTGTGTGTGTGTGTATGTATGGAAGCTTTCTTATCTATGACTTTTATTTCAGAATTGAAAAGGAAGTATTAAAATGCTGAATATATTGCCAAAACCGGTTTAACTCAGTGGTAGAGCGTTGGTCTGCGGACCGAAAGGTCTCAGGTTAGATTCTGGTCAAGGGCATGTACCTTGGTTGCAGGCACATCCCCAGTAAGGGGCATGCAAGAGGCAGCTGATCGATGATTCTCTCTCATAGATGTTTGTAACTCTCTATCCATCTCTCTTCCTCTCTGTTAAAAATCAATAAAATATATTTTTTTAAAATGCTGAATATATGAGATGGGTATTGGTTTGATTGGGATGGAAACCACTTGTGTAATATAATTAATGTGTCTGTTTTCCACATTGATGGAATTCATTTATTATATCCACATGAAATTTATTATATCCAGGTGAAATCAGAAGATACTGTTAACATGATATGATCTGTCATTCATGGTAATATTTGGTATTCAGAATAGCTAAAATATGACTATGTTGTTTTCCTAAGTGTCACATATGCATTAAATTATATGGAAGATTCTAGATATCAACCCAGGTCTCCTACCCAAAGGCCAAGGAGGCATTGATGACAATGACAAATGGATACAAAGAGCCAGTGGGGACTAGAGCCAATTTGATTGAATGTGTCCCATCTAAAACAGCTAGTACTACCTCACTTGAAGAGATTGTTGCTATATAAAAATGTGGGCTAAGATGAGTCAAGTGCATACATTTTTAAAAAGAACTTAGCAATCCTGTCCTTTAAAGAAAATACTACAAGGGCCAATATATCATACCTGGGGTAGAAAGTACATACATATTATTAGAGTATCTGGCATAGACCCATATTCAAAGTTACATTCTTAGGTAAAGAAATGCTTATGTATGTAATAAGACCAAGAGTAATTTATTTAAATAGAAACAAACAAACAAACTACTCTGTTCTATAATATTTCTCTTGCTGTTTCTATTAGGACATGTTTATTCTAAATGTGTTAAATTATGTTCCTTCTAGAAATGATATGATACACATTTAGAGTAAGATTTTGAACTGAAATATGGGAGTGATATTTTTTATCTGTAGCCTGTAGCACTAACAGATAGGGGTGAGGTAGTAATGTAGACAGACAGATAAAATGTAGAGTGAAAATATTAACATTTTTATTGCAATTGAAAGACTACAAACTGGGTTGTTTTCCTAGTTAAAAGCAGCAGGTGGTTCTGCTATGAAGGAGCCTAGAAAATGTTATGATTTTTACTGCTAAAATGAAATCCATTTTATAGATCTCTGAAAGCAGTATGAACTTTCCAGTCTTAGAAAAAAGAAAAATACACATAAGGACAAAGAGACGTTCTGAAAGCTCAGAACAATTTCAATTTCCTGATTTGCTTTTTGTGAGATACATTTTCAAAAGAAATATTCACTTAAGTAAATATTGCCTTATGTTAATTTGCTTTAATTTTTTTTTTTAGAAATTTGAATAAAATTCCCCAATTCACCCATTGATATCGTTCTCCTAATCATATCTGAAGATATGTCAAGCTTGCTGAAATCTAAGGATTTAATGAGAATGTCCTGAAAATACATTTTAGCTTGCATATCAACTTATATTTTAAATCTATCCAGTCACTAATCTCATGATCTGACGCCTCCCACATGTTGGTTTACCGTCACTGCTGGTGACGCCTGGCATCGATTTTGTTGGAGAGGAGCATTACCCCGGGGAGAACTCTTCTGGGTCAAAAGGCCAAACAGACAAAGCAGAAGCCTGTTTTAAGCTGTGTCTACCCTTATACAATATCTCCCTCAAACATGTAATACTAACCCATGAATGCCGGTGACAAGGAAGATCAAATTCCCATTGAAAGCCTGTTTTAAGCTGTGTCTACCCTTATACAATAACTCCCTCAAACATGTAATACTAACCCATGAATGCCGGTGACAAGGAAGATCAAATTCCCATTGATCTTGGTGCAGTTTACGAATTTGTCGATGTTGCTGGAATCCACAGTCTGCGCTGACATCAGGGACCCTGTGCCGATGCCATCACAAGCTGGGGAAACAGAGTCACAGCCGGGAAACGGAGAAATCTTTTCAATCAATGAATCATTCCTTTTTCATTATGAAATCACAGTATACTTCATTATAAAATAAAAGTATTTACCATAAGAAATACATTGCTTTCTAGCAAATAAAATAAAAATCCATTTGTGCAACATTTACTGCTTGGCCTGCTTATAAATATTATCCCAGTATTATTATCTAGTGACCATGACTGATAAGAATTCTATTTTATATCAAGGCCCTACATATATGCATAACAGATACAAAACTCAAATAAAACTTTCCACAGTAAGTACTTCCTCTTACTAGATAAAATCACCTCATTTCTAATCCATCCAAAAATATTTCTTTAAAAATACTTTTTAAATTCTGGTCCCTTAAATAACTTCATAGTCTAATGAGAGTCTACCATCTGAAGTTTTGAAAACACTGGCACAGTTAAGAATATATATTAAGCAGAGTACTAATGATGTGAGTTGAGTTAAGTCAAGTATTACCTGTGCCTTCTGAAGGCTGTATTTAAAAAACAACAGCACACAAAATACTTGTGTATTTGTATGTGTGTGAGAGGGAGAGGAGAGGAGAGGAGAGGAGAGGAGAGGAGAGGAGAGGAGAGGAGAGGAGAGGAGAGGAGAGAGAGAGAGAGAGAGAGAGAGAGAGAGAGAGAGAGAGAGAGAGAGAGAGAGAGAGAATGAGAATGTAGTCTAATAGTAAGTCTTAAATTTGTCCTTTTAAGAGTTTAAGGCATTCCTGCTACTTTGAAAAACTCAAAATATTAGAAAATGTTGAACTGCACGTTTGTCTTGCTTAATTTACGTTTTATTATGGTGAGGAATTTGAGCACCATGGCTAGAAGGTTCTTCTTTCTCCACTAAAATTATAGACATAAATTATATGTGTTTATTTAACACTTATGGTAAACATCTTTGTCATTTTATATATTTTATATTTCAAAATATTTTTAAGACCAGGAAATAAATGTCACATTACATTTCTCTTTGTGTCCCCTTTTATGCATACCAGATCATTTTATATACACTGGCAAGCAACAAATACATGTTCATGATGCTAAAATAATCGTGTGAACACTTGTTTTGCTCCTCATTTCTAAGATTTGCTGAATATAGAATAAAATGCAACTTTTTTTTCCCCTGAGTTCCTATCAAACTTAAGTCTGAATTTTATGTGGAACATTTTGGTTTATTATAATTCAAAATCAGTAATAGACACTGTTACAACAGTAGACACTTTGGGAACTGTTCACAGTTACGGAAAGGGGTGTGTGTGAGTTTGGTTGTGGGAGTGGTGTGTTGTAAGAGGCCCCATTAAAACACTCAGGAACACTTTGTTGTAGGCCCCCCAGCACTTACTCACCTTTTGGGCAAATATCAGTGCAAGGTTTGCACATTTTAATCCCGTTTTCCTCCACTTCCATCTTGGAACTAGGGCAGGCACGCACGCAAGAACTGGAATCGACCACAAAGTTATCTGAAAAAAAAGGTAAAATGAGCAACAATGAGGATGTCCTGCAAGCAAGTTTACAAGGAGCTATTTTGGGGTGTGGAAATAGTTAGCATGTTTGATAGGATACATGTCTATTGCCCTGAAACACCTGTTTAAGTATCTCCACCTGAGACAGCAGCCGGGCCCATCCACATTGAATCTGAGGACCACGTGTATTAGCCACAGGTACTACTTGCTTGACTGAGCTCCACAGCCCAAACTGCCCCTACAATAGAGCACATTTCCTTTACGGACTTAGGAAACTACGTGACATTTCGTTTGTGTTTTTCAATAGTTCCACTTCATTTCAGGTCATGATGCAAGTCTGAAGTTTAAAATACTTCAAGTCGCAGGAAGCACAAATAACACTGAAGTTAAACTGCCCTGGATCAAGAGAGTGCACTTCACATCCCGGAAGAAGTGTTTAAAAATGTGTTTGATCTTTCAGTGGAGTGCCACAGAAACTGTCCCGTAGCTGGACACGATGAGACAAAATGAAAGCTGAAAGGGCACGACTTAAGAAAGGTACACAAAGTAGACCAAGAAGATCTAATGGCCTGAAACATGGGTAAACTGTTTAGGGGTCCAGGGATATGGACTATATGCCAGGACATTCTCCCTCATGGAAAGGTCACAGTATTGCATTTTGAGTTTGGGATGGTTTTTTGTGTGTGTGTTTGTTTTTTGTTTTGTTTTTAAATATATATGATTTCAGAGAGGAAAGGGGAGGGAGAGAGAGATAGAGACATCAATGATGAGAGAGAATCATTGATTGGCTGTCTCCTGCACACACCCAGTGGGGATTGAGCCCGCAACCTGGTCATGTGTCCTTGACTGGAATTGAACTTGGGACCTTTCAGTCCACAAGCTGATGCTCTATCCACTGAGCCAAACCAGCGAGGGCTTGAGTTTGGGTTTTAAAGGCAGCATCCTCCCATGTCTGTGAATACTGCTGCTGGCCCCGTGGTCAGTGACATGGGAGGTTTCTGTCCGCCAGGGGGACCCAAGGCACAAAAGGCATACTGTGCAGGTCCAGGCTGGGGTGTAAGTAGCACTGTGACTTGGGTAAAACCCAAGAGGAAGTATGATATTAGAAGTATCTGTAAATGCCATGTGGAGTTTTGGCAATTTATCATTGGGAAATCACAAGAGCCTCTAGGATTCTAGCACTCAGCCACACCATCCACAGCCTAAAATCACATGCCACTTCATAAATAGTGCCTGGGTCAGGGCAGAGACAGAGGATCAAACCATGGGTCACTAACTGATTGACCTGGTAGCCAGACTTTCCTTTAATAAACTGAGTTTGCTAGAATCATGACATCATCATGTTTGACAGGCCCCACAGAAATCCCTGGGAAGAGAGAATCAGTAGATTTGGGATTGGATGTGACCTCCAGCAGACACACAAGTAAAGTACATAAGTAGTTGGTCCAGACCTCCACATCGTCCTCCACTGTGCTGGCACTGCCCACTCCGCTAACACCTGAGACTGAGTGAGGAGGAAGACAGGGCTCTTATGACAAGCTAATGGAGGAGGACAAACACTAAGCTTGATATGTGTGTTCAAGCAGGTGACATTGGTGGCAACTGCCCTGTGGCCTAACTATGGAGTGGACCTGAAAGGTAGTCAAATGATCATTTTCTTTGTGTGGAAGTGACCTAAGCTTGGAATAAACATGAACTCATGAGCAGTGGCTTGCCCTGGGAAAAGAAATCCTGAAAATTCTGGAATCTGGGGTAGATGGATATACGAATATATTAGTGAATCCATGAGATTGGGCAGAATGCTTGAAGACGCTTTTATTCCAAGTTACCACCCACTAGAGGGCACCCATCACCAAAGGAGGCACTCAGGTGGCTGCATCACAGCCTGATGGTATTGGCCTTCCTTCCCCAGGGGACTTGATTCAGAGAACACTCCTTCACACCCTAAACTCAGTCTCAGGGCAACCCAACCTGCCACAGGTGCATGTCCTGTATAATATGCACCCACCTTACTGCAAAGTCTTTAGGAATATCCCTTATTCCACATTTTTGCAGCAATTTATGCCATGAAGAATAAATAAAAATTATAAATAGCTTGGTGTCAAATTCAGGTTCAGGTTCTTCAGTTAAATGGGTTTGTTATTTGGACTTTTCAGGTTTGAGAACTCCAGATTAGGGATTGAGAGCAGTATTTAGAAGCTAAACATCACTCCCTTCACCCACCCCGCCTCCTCCAGATTAGCAACCATGCCTTATGAGCAAAGTCCACCAAAGATTTGAATTTTAAATAAATGCTGAAGTGCTTTTAAGTATATATATTTAATAAATACACACACACACACACACACACACACACACACAATTTTTTATTGACTTCAGACAGGAAAGGAAAGGGAGAGAAAGAATCATTGATCAGCTGCCTCTGCATGCCCCCTACTGGGGATTGAGCCTGCAACCTCAGGCATGTGCCCTTGACCAGAATCAAACCCTGGACCCTTCATTATGTGGGCCCACACTCTACCCACTGAGTCAAAGTGGCTTGGGCTGAAATGTTAAATTTGTCTGTAATTGGTAGATCTAAGCTAATCTGAAAAAGGACGTGTATGAGATACCGTATCTAAGGTAGCTGGGCATGTAATTCCACCAATAGTTCTCAGCATTTAGCCACTTGCCAAAATTTACAAGTTAAGAGCCTTCAGAGGAGCCCCTGTAAAGGATACAGTAAAGAAAGGGAATTCCAGCCGGGACCGGTTTGGCTCAGTGGATAGAGCGTCGGCCTGCGGCCTGAAGGGTCCTGGGTTCGATTCCGGGCAAGGGCATGTACCTTGGTTGCAGGCACATCCCCAGTGTGTGTGTGGGGGAGGGGGGGTGCAGGAAGCAGCTGATGGATGATTCTCTCTCATCGATGTTTCTAACTCTCTATCCCTCTCTCTTCCTCTCTGTGAAAAATCAATAAAATATATTTTAAAAAAAAAAAAAGGAAGGGAATTTCAGAGCCCAGATTTTCATGGTAATTCTTCCACCCAGCCCACCCCCTGGGCCTCGAACTCAGGACTTGAATAAAAGGTAATCTATCAAAAAATCACCCCAAAAGCATAGTTTTGACTGACTTTGGGCAAAGGCATCATCATTTGAAGGTAGTAGAAAAGGAAAACATTTGTCTAAGAAAAGGAAACACTTCATCATCTAACCCCATCTTATAATATTCTGAAGCTTCCTATTTTGCAGGGATACTAGATGGTGACATACAGAGTAACTTTAAATAAGAGGTTATTAGATCAAGAACATTAGTTTGAATATTAAAGTATTTACAATGGAAAAATCTCTACTGTCCTAGCGTTATTGTGTCTGTTACTTTAAAATCCTAATTCAAAGGCATATATGCATAACAATTCATTTAATTAATATAAAATATTTAATAATTAGAATTGTCATTGTATTAAAAACTTGTTTTTATATACTACTTCTGATTCTTTTTCCCCCTCTCCCTTTGATACTTATAATGACTTTGAGAAAGAGAGAGAAGATATGATTATTATCATCAGCATCTTAGAGGAGAGGAACTAAAGAACAAACAAACAAACAAAAACCTAAGTTCACTTAGAATCACATGGCGAAAATTAGGCAAAGCCAGACGCCAGGCCGCTCTGACCCGATGCCACACCCCTGTGCCATCACATTCATAAGCCAAGGAAACCATAATGTCTCAGTGGTGTGGACTATAAAGCCTTCTTCTTCTAAACGACTAGGTGATCAAATGTAGTGGTTTTTCCACTTTTCCATCAAATAAGACATTGATGAAAAATCCCATTGGTCACTCCAAGTAAAGAAACTTACTCAAGCAGATATCAGGACACGTTTCAGTGAATTATTGATGAAAGTTAAGCTGGTTACTTTACATTCCCAGGATGAATTATCTATTTGGTGAAGATCTCTTAGAGCACCCTTCTTATTGTTTACTACGATTTGATATTAAAACTATAGTGCTATATATTCTATTACAAATAAGTAATCAGAAATAATTTTAGGTAAAAATGCATTGGTATTAGAAGCATACGCCATTCATAACATAGCTTACTGCCCTAAAACTAATCACTTTTCTAAGAAACAGCATCATGTGAAAAAGCAATGCTATATAGTGAAAATAATGAGTTTGGAAGTCAATGAGACCACACTAAAACATACCACTTCTGTTCTGATACTGATCATATAATTTAAATTTCTTTATCTTTGAAATGGTAGCAATAGTCCCCATACCCAAGTAATTCATGATATGACAGATTTTAAGTAACAATAAATTTACATGAAATTATTTTGCTTTTAAATAATGATGTAATTGATCTGACTATTCTTATCTTCTACTTACGTGGGCATTTCTTGACACAAAATGCTCCATATGTGTACTTGGCATTGAAGTTATGCTCCAGTTGAAAGGTGGTTGGGTTGTAGACAAAGGTTTGGGGACACTGAGTCACACATGCTCCACTGTCATTGAAATTCATGCAGGCCTGCAACATATCAAGTGTTAATTTCATTAAAAAATAATCCTAATAATAATTATTTTAAAAATATATTTTATTAATTTTTTACAGAGAGGAAGGGAGGGAGATAGAGAGTTAGAAACATCAATGAGAGAGAAACATCGATCAGCTCCCTCCTGCACACCCACTACTGGGAATGTGCCCACAACCAAGGTACATGTCCTTGACCAGAATTGAACCTGGGGCCTTTCAGTCTGCAGGCCAACACTCTATCCACTGAGCCAAACCAGTTTCGGCAATAATTATTATTAAAGAACATTTTTTAGAGAAGTTTGTGTACTTTACTCAGTATATATCAATTTCATGAAAACTGTAAATTTTGAAAATTTCATAGCTATTAGTGCTTAATTTTAAGTTCAAATTTGCTTAGGACTTCTACAATTCTACAAAACTGTTTTTCCAATGTCGGTAATACCATCTATAGTTTATTAATGTTCAAATTGTTTAGCATCTATCCACTAATTTATGAATTGTCATTTACTTTAAATTATCAAAATTAGCTAATAGTGAAAAGTCATTAAACACACACTGATTCAAAGGGTTTATGTTGAGTCTTCGAGTCTAGTGCTAATAACAAAATCCCCAGTTCTACAGGGCATTTGGTTATTAGTGCTAGACTAAGTGCTAGACTCTTTTAGAAAAATATTTTATGGTTTTCAGAGAGGAAGAGTGAAACAGAAACGTCAGTGATGAGAGAGAATCATTAACTTGCTGCCTCCTGCACTTCTCCTACTGTGGACTGAGCCCGCAACCCAGGCATGTGCCCTTAGCCTGGTGCCCTTCTGTCCACAGTCCGGCTCTATCTACTGACCTAAGCTAGTTAGGGCCAAGTTAGACTATTCTTAAAGCTAGTGTTTGGAGAGTTCAGTGCCTTAAGTGACATTCATGTTCACTGTGTAGTGAGAAAACACTCGATAGCTAATAACACTGACCTCAAACAAAGGCTCTCGCAGGTGACTGGTCAAAGGGTAAATGGAGGGGTATTTAATGCCAAATTAAATAAGATGATGCCGTTTTCACAATGCCACACAACTTGGTACAAGCCACCAATTCAAGTAAAATATTTAATTTCCACTGGCATATATTTGTATTAAAATCTCAATTTGTTAAATTGTTCAAATGCCTTTAAGAATAATTAAAAATAAATTTACTGCCCAAAAGTGAGGCATGTATTACAAAAATGGAATATAATGACATAAAAACATGTGATTAACAAAGAGTGGATGAACTAAATCTCTTAATTAAAATACATTAAACCTCCTTAGGAATAATTTAGGTCTTGCAAAGCAGGCTAATGTGAACTCAAATAGTAGTTTACAGTCATCATAAATTGTATGTATGATTATTAATAAGCACTAATTTATTCTGTTTCCTCAAAACATTTTCTTCATCAGTTGTTGTTTTAGCAAGCACTTTATTACCAACATGACAATTCCCTGATGATGGTCTTACGAGATGTATAATCAGAACAAGAATCACTGACGATACATTATTCACTGAGCTGACACTTTCCAGGAAGAATCTATTAAAAACCAATCTAGAAAACTCAGTAAGTTTTAATTTATGGCTATAAAACTTCATGTGTCCTCATAATTGCTTTACTAACATACTTTATGAGATGTTGTGTGCAGATTGCTTAGCAACAAAGAAACATAAGCCAGAGGAACCCGACAAACACAATATGGCTTACACCCAGGCCTTGGTCTGGCATTCCTGAGCATCCTGTAGCCAATGCCAAAGTGGAATCGCGGGGCCATTCCATAAAAAATGCAATAAAAATTCCGAAGCTCTCTTGGCACTCTGCTTATCATGGCAATGGGACCGTGAACAAAACAGAGTGAAAGCTCTGGCTATTGGTGTTTTATTGCCGTTACTGTTTTGGAATTGTGAACCCAATGCTTGTTTAGTGTCCCCCAGATCTCGTTTCCAGCCCATGACTGGAGACAAGCAAATAAAAAGGCCTCAATGCAAGAACTGCTGAGGAGCTGCTTTAAATGTTTACACTTTAATATTCTCTTCTTCCTCCTGACTCACTTCCTCTGCACTACAGACTTCTGTTCACTGTAGAATTTAGGGGAGACAAGTTAAATTTTTGTGACATTAAAAAAATATCACAAGTGACCATAAGAGCTGTAGTTTCTGTTCTGCTTATTTTTCATAATCAAGTGCCAATTAAAAGAAATTACTCAATTCTAAATATATATGTGTGTTCTCTGAATATTTGAGAAGGGATAACAAGGAAATAAATTTCTGTGTTTATTTTTAACAACAAAAACAACTTATGAGTTAGCTTAAAGTGTTCTATGTGTGTATGAAATTGCATTAACTAAAGCTCACAGAATTGCTTGTATGTATTCAAAAGGACAGAAAGAACTGTATCCGAGCTATCAAAATATAATTAAAAGTGCCCCCAATAAATGCTACATGTTAATTTTAAGAATGTAAAAGTATCCTCTTCTAAAATAAAAATCACACGGATTAACATGTAAAACTCTTCAAGTGTGTATTTGTAAATCTCATAAATTTTGAATCATATCCATTTGTAAACAACATAAAAATGCTTAAATTTATAAACATATCTTAAATTCATATTTAAGAAATAAAAATCCAAGTGTCTCCACTCAGAAACTCAATGACACAACAACATAAAGAAGTAATCACTGTAAATGTTGGGAAAATGCTATTAGTTTTTAAAATATGTTTAATATGCTCTCCTTCAGTCCTCTATAAATCTCACTGGTAATATAAATTGCAACAGAAAAACATAACAAACAATCCTAGCTCATCAACTGCCACCCAGTGAATGCATGACTTGTAGGAAGGTGGAGAATAGTACTTAATCCTTAAGTGGTTAAATGAGGTCTTTTTCAATCGGGTGTTAAGGATTCAATGTGCCTGAGACAAACCAAGAAGGGAGGAACAAAGAGCACCACACTTACAAAGCAGTCGGTGTCCTTCGGACCTGAGCAGCCTCCAGCACACTCTCGATGACAGCAGTCACTGACGTAGGGTCCATAGCATCTGCCATCACATTGTTCTGCACACACCGTCCTTGTCACTGCAGAAAACAGATATGAAGCCTGGTCAAATCAGCCACCAAGAGAAGTATCTAAGGGGACTTGGATTAAGTAGCTGGAAAAAACTGGCCTCTAGAATGTCAATGAACCCACCATTGACTCCATTCAGCTAACACGTGCTGAATGAAGTCTGCAACTGATCAAAATTACTGCACAAAAATTTCCAAATTAACACATACATTAATTTATAGAGTATTTCTTGTGCAAGCAAATTCTATTGTGATTTACTAAAACCATACAATTTAACCCAAGAGAGTCAAGTTTGAAATAACTGAATGAGGCACTCTAGTAGGTTATGAAAGATGGAATCAATTCCCACTGGGCACAGTTAGGTCCTATAGCACGTGTCCCCAGAAATAAACCTGAGGTTTTTATCGGTCAGTGCAAAAAGAAAAAAAATATAAATCTTTACATGATTCATATTATATCTTACATGATACATATTAGATAGACAGATATATAAATGAAATGGGGTTGGGGGAGACAGACAGGGAGGGAGAGGGAGAAAGATAGAGAAAAAGAGAGATAGAATTAAGCAGTAGTAGCACAACTCTTTCTATTCCTAATATATCAGTGACATTTCTACTGAGAGTCTTCAAAAGAAGAACCATGTAAGGAATAGAGCGATATTCTTAAAGGAAGGAATGGAGGGAAAGAAAGAAGAAGGTAAGAAAGAAAAGTGGGAGTGAGGGAGTACAGGAGGAAGAACTAAACACTAAACACAACAAAAACTCCCACTGGCCTTTTCCTATAACACCCTTTAATACAGTTGGCAGAATCCTATAGGTACACTTTAGTAAAATCAATGCTATAGACTGGGCTTCAACATTACGATATTAAGTAAAATAATTCTGCTTATCTCACTTATTGAAGGGATATTTTAAAGTATTTTGGAGAACTAAATTTTATAGGATACTAGAGGCCTGGTGCATGAAATTCATGCACAGAGGAGAGGTAGCATCCCTCAGCCTAGCCTGCACCCCTGTTCAATCTGGGACTTCTCGAGGGATGTCCAACTGCCTGTATAGGCCCGATCCCACTGGCAGTCCGACATCCCTGTCAAAATTCAGGACTGCTGGCTCCCAACAGCTTGCCTGCCTGCCTGATTGCCTCTAACCGCTTCTGCCTGCCAGCCTGATCATCTCCTAACCATTCCCCTGCCTGCCTGATCTACACCTAACTGCTCCCCTGCAAGCCTATTGTCCCTAACTGCCCTCCCCTACTGGCCATCTTGTGGCAGCCATCTTGTGTCCACATGAGGGTGGCCTTCTTTGATCACATGGGGGCAGTCATCTTTTGTGTTTTGGAGTGATGGTCAATTTGCATATTACCTCTTTATTATATAGTATGTGTAGCATGTCACTTCTTGATTTCTGTATTTCCATTTCAGCCTTGTGTCTTCCTACCTCACTGACTAGTTATTCAAAGCTTCCTTCACTGCTTCCATAGCAAAGCACAACTCCTTAAACATTAGTATTCCTCAGAATTGGTCTTGGTTGAATTTGGCAATTTTCTTGGGCTGTGGGCTCATGCCTGAATGAAATCATTCATCTTTTACTTTGCATACTACCTATAGGGAGATTACTTTCAGATTCAGATTTGAATTCTCTATTGAGCTACAGGATGCATCTCTCTCTTTTATTTCTCTTCCTCTCTCACTTCCTTTATTTCCCTCCCCTCTGTCCCTTCCTTCTTTTCTGCATTTTTGTTATAGCATCAATCACCATCTAATATATTTTACAACTCATTTGTTTGCTAGTATATTCTAATGTCTACTTGGCATTCCTGTACTTTTTAGTTATGTTTCATATACACTACTTCTACACAATACAGTATATGAAATATACCCTAATATATTACATTATATGTACATTAATGTTCCTACATTTTATCCAGTAGTATATTTATTTAGATGTCCCAATTTGTAAACCATACCATATAAAGAAAACATTATTTCATATTATATTTAAATAACAAGTTTAAATATAATTCCTCTTTCTTATTTCAAAAGGCTTTTTTGATGTACCAAGACCTACTAATTAAAACAGCAGATAAATGTTAAGTAACCAAATTACTAGATTTGAAATAAGTTTTATCACAGGATTGTCTATTAATTTGCTTTTAATGGAAAGGAATTAACTTGCTCAGCTGGAAAATAACATGAAGTAAGTCAGCAAAAATATCCTATATTTTAATCTAAGTCATGTACATTGAAGTGTTAATCTTTATTTTCAACTCTATAGTGATGAAAGGTAAATTTACAAAATGTCTTTCTCTTTATTTATATGCTTTGCTTGCTTTCTCCCACAAAATGAGAAAATTAGTGTACATAATATTTATAAAGATAATTAACCATAAATTTATTTTAAAATTATGTATTAAATATTTATATTAAGATTATCACATTGAGTACACTATTTAAATATGAAAATAATATGCTATGATTATAATCTAAGAGAACAATCTTATTTTCTATAATAATATTATACTGTGGAACTTTTAAAATATGTTTTAAATAATTACACTATATGTGTTGTTGAGTCAATTTTAAATTTTTCAAAACAGCTATTTATTTTATATAGTGGTCACATATCTCATGTCTTTAGGACACTTTGATCTTACACATGCCATTCCATTGAGGGTCATGCAAAGGAATAACTAAGTCAGTACCTTTAAATGTTTTAATTTAAGCTATTAAAAGATAATTAAATTACAGGTTTTGCTTCAAAATCAGTCTAGCATTGATTTTAAAAATAAACAGTGAAATAGCACTTTTTGGCATCATGGTTTTCACATGCCTTAATACCAATTGAAAATTCAGCCTGGCTGGTGTTGCTCAATGACTGAGCATAGATCTATGAACCAGGAAGGAGGTCATTATTTGATTCCAGGTCAGGGACATGCCCAAGTTGGGAATTTGATCCCCAATGTGGGATGTGCAGGAGGCGGCTGATATTTGAGTATCTTTCATCATTGTTGTTTCTATCTCTCTTCTCCCTCTTCCTTCCTCTCTGAAATCAATAATTTTTTTAAAGAAAGTTCAATAAACATGAAGCGTATTTGGGAAGTGTTTGCTTGACATATAATAATATAAATGAGCAAAAAGGACAAAATATGCTTAACTCTAAACAGTGATGTGACATAGTTCAAGAAACATTTCTTAGCATTATGTAAGATTTGTTTTTAGAAAGAAAATATTCTCTCTGTAAAATCCATTTAAGGGCATTAGTTGATGAATAAACATTACTTACTATTAATTAAGCACATCAAACTATACTCATATTTTATTATGACAGAAACAAAACAAATACAGTTCCTGAAATCAATGAGATAACTCACTTAGCCTCTATGGGAACATTAACTTATAATTGCTGTGGTTATATTAATTTATATCCTTGCTTGAATATTAATTCATTAGCATTTTCCCTGTATTTACTAACATTTATAAATTGCTTCATTGGGTGCATTAAAATATTTTGGTCAAATATTAATGAGCTTATTCATTGGTGATACATCACTAACTATGATTGCTTAATACAAAGGATAAAACCTGGGAAGCTAAATGTTTATTATATTAGGAGAGTAAATTTGAAATTGGGAATGAGGATTCATTCAAAATATCCATGAGAATCAGATGTGTAACGTTTAAATGCTACATATCCCACAGGTAGGAGGTACTATTGAGAGACTATCATCTCAAACTGTTGCTACTTGTAGTCCCAAGGAGAATAACCAGGCACCTCTGTGTACTCAGTGCCAAGGAGACACTAAAAAAAAATTTAAAGTAAAGATGCACGCCCTCCTCCTCCATTCTGATTCAGCCACCTAATTAATTTCCTTTCAATATGCACAAATCAGGGCACTGGGTCACTGGTATATCTAAAATGTTCACTGGTTGCAACTAAAACTAATACAATGTTATCTAAATGTCCATTAATAAGGAACATTTATGTGAATAAATATACCCATAAACACACACATATATGCCAAACTTCTTGCCAGCTAGTAATCACTTTGTGGAAAAATATAGGGTGGGGCAAAAGTGTTCATTGATGGGAATACATTGTTATATTTCAAGTCTATATACTTGAGTTATATGGCCTTAAATAATCTATAATATGAAATAAGCTATACACCCGACAGAGCAAATTAATTATCCCAGTGTTACAGATGAAGAAGTTAACATTTAAAAAATATTTAACTAGCTTATACTGGGTTGCATAACTTATCATAAAGTAGGGTTTTAAATTAATTTCCAGACTCCTATATATCTTCACTAACATGTTTACATTAAGAGCCACAAAATAATACTAGGTATCTCAATTTAAAGAACAAATGGGGTGCGGGTGGGAGGAAGATAATTTCAGATGCTATTTTAAATGTAATATGGAAAAACTAAAATGACCTACACATCTCTGTTTTATATTCTTGAAACATAATTTGTTCTGGAGTAATTTTATGTAACAACACAATTATGAGTGATGAGTAATGAAAACTAAGATATTACTCAAACACACTTCAAATTAATGGTGAAAGCTACAAAAATAAAATTATATTATAGTTAGCACTTTATTAAACCTCATATGTGACTGAGGTTAACCTACTGATTTTAGAGGAGGACACAGACCCAGATGGGGCCAACATTCAAGTCCACTATCTCAGTAATAACAGTCTTAAAGTGGAACCACCACAAACATGCACTTTAAGTATTATATATGTGCAAGAATGACTACAAACTATGACTCTTCTTCTCACAGAACAATTTAAATATTTCTGACTCTACTGCTCAGTGCCCTGTCAGTAATCCTTCCAATGTGCTGCATTCACTCTCCAATCTTCTGATCAGATAAGATTATCTCTCGCCCCAAACCTTAGCTTGCATTTCTGCAGTTAAGTACCTGATACATACTAAGCTTTTGAAAAAGCCAACCAAGGAGTTGTTTTTGAAGGTATCTGTCACAAATAGACATATGTCCAGCTA